TCAATGATACGCTCAAACACATGGTTTCGCTCCCACTGGAGTCATGTTGTCAAAAATGGAAAGAAGTCTGTTCTCATCAGCTTTCATCAGATGGCTAATTCCCTAGAAACTTTGAAAGTGAGATTGATGTTTGCCGGCTACATCCCATGATGTGGAAGGCGGCCCCCATTTCACGGTATGGAGCGGACACAAGTATACCTGATACTGTGTATATCTTTCCACGAGGTGCTCCATTAGGAATGTGATAAGTTGGCGATAAGCTGACGATAAAAGGATGCAATTATAAACCGCCGATATATCCTGGTATGAGATGGAGATCAAGTTTCTGAAAACAAAGTTCATAACACTCAGAAGATCAAACCCCAGATATGATTTGATGTTGAGATCTAGCAATCGGGTCCGAGAAAGTCATATTGAACTGTAGAGTCCGTTATGTAGGAAGCCTAGACTGCGAAAAGGTTGTAATCGACAACTCTCAGAGAATCTACTGCCTTGAAGAAATCCGATACGATGAGCTGTTCCTGTTCCACCGTAACGGCTCCATTTCTTCCACGGCCTTGTCCCGTTTCAATCGGAATGTTGAACGAGACAACGACATCGTGGTTCTTTCCTTTGACTCGGAAAAGAGAAAATAGGGTGCGAAGGTGGTGGATTGACCCAGCCTTCAGTAGAACCTGACCTCCGTCGAGCAAAGTTGGAGAAAGTTCATTGGTGATGGGTCTTTGAATGATGATGGAATTATGTTCCATCGAATCATTATCCTCTGCTATTGCATCGAGGTGGAATCTGTGATATCCTGCATCAGAGCTTCTTGAAGCATATGCCATTACAATAACAGGAGGACACTAACTTTGCTGCCGCTTCCGGATCTTCGATATCGACTTTTTGGAGGATGTCGATAATAATGCTTGCACCAGAGTCACGGTACACGAATATTTCCTGGGAGTTTGGGATCTCCTGCGTGTCTCTGAGATAAATTTGGTCAGTCAGTGGGATAGAGCATTTAGTGAGAGTGAGCCATACGCGACATTGATCAGATTTATAGGTAGATCGGCCCTCATCCCATTGTCTCCAAAAAGATTCACTGGAACATGGCGGTTGGACATGCTCTTGAATCGAGAATGTAGTAGATATCGATATAGATAAGATCTAAAGTAACAACAATATTTAAAAAGGGGTCTAGTGGCACGGTCACGTGCATGTGACAAACACTTGTTGACCGCGACGCACGACGCGTCTAGCGCATCGACTTCCTGCAATTGCTCGTCGGCGACATGTCGGAACTCCGTCGCTCGACCATGCAACCTGCACCTGATATATATGGCAACACTCGGTCAGGCCTACCAATGCCATCAACAGCAAAGAAAGCATCATCGTCCGCTATGCGCATGTCGCTCGCTGGCCCAGCAGCCCGCACACCCTATTTTCCCCCAGGAGCAGGTTCCGGCTCAAATACAGGACATTCTGGTTATCGGTCGCAGAATGTGAATCCACTGCTACAAAGTACAAGTAAACCAAATTATGGGCGTACCCCTTTAACCAAGTAAGTGTCTTCTCTGATCTCGCCAACGTTCCTTTCGAATGATATCCTACTCTCAGCTCTTCTAGGAGGGGTTCGGTGTGGACAGGTGGTCCATCTCTCGCCCCTCCTTCCGGCAGTCAAACATTCAAGGACCCACGACCAATTCGCGAGCGCTCATATCAATCGAAAATGAAACAAGACATATACTCTTGGCTGCAAGCGACGGAATTCGACATCTCTGTTCAAACGCTATCGAACATCACCGGAAAAGATTACCGAGCCATGTTCCAACATCTTGTGACTATCATGGATCCTGGATACCCGTTTGATTCTCGCCTTCGCTTTGAGGACGAATTTCAACCCGCTCTGAAATCCCTGCGATACCCGTTTTCTGCCCAAATCGACAACAAATGGCTGGCTGCTCCGGGAAGTATGCATTCGTGGCCTGCTCTGCTGGCAGTTTTGCATTGGCTGGTCGAGATGGGAAAGGTTATCTACACTTGAATCATAAACAGCCTTGCATTAATAAATTACTTCAGGCTCGGCTGAACTACTTGGAGAGTGAGGATGATCCCACATTACAAATTGCCGATAGAATTCCCGAAGAGTTCAGCGACCCTATCCATCATCAGGCGCTTGCATTCAATTACTTTTCAGAAGCCTATGTCGCTTTTTTTCATGGCGCAGACGTATTCCACGAACAGGACAAAGAACTGGAAGCTAGTTACGGTACGTCTTCTATATTTTTAAAAGCAGCTTTTTTGACGATAGAATTGAAGCGAAGAAGAACGAGAGGGTGGTCGGCGACTTAGAGAATAAGAAAGCACTACTAGCACAAGGAACAAAGGAGTTGGACGAACTTCGGTCATCAAAGGTAGGCCGCGTGTATGATCCTTTCGGCGAATGTCGTCTGCTAAGTATTGACCCGTTAGGCACCTGTAGAAAAACTCCAGAAAATTCGGGCTTGTATCTTGGATGATCGAGCCAAATTCGACGACGTTTTGCACCGCTTGGAGTCGCGAAAAAGACAGCTCACTGAATCTGTAGTTCGCGAGAAAGCGGAACTCGCTGCTCGATGTGCGTCATGCAAATTCATAGCGGGTGAATCATCGTGAACTCTTGTCTTCAGCTCAGAACTTTGATCAACTCAAAGCCGAACATGAGAAGCTTACGGAGGTGGTCAAAGTCCAGAACCTGACACCAGAAGAAGTCATTCGCATGAATACTGACCATGAAACGCTCGCACGCAATTTGGAGGACCTCAAATACAAGATTTCTGAAGCGCGCAAGACAGTGATGTCTCTGGAAGTCATAACAACCAACCGTGGAGCTGCGGCAGAAGAGGCACTAGATCTCTATGGCAATCTCCTATCTGCTGTGGGCTTATTTCCACCACTACCGCCACCATTCGACAACATCGATCTCAGGTTGGAGCTAAACACGGCCGCTGCGAATCCTCAGCAGCTACTGTTGGGTTCCGACATTCGCAAGGTCATAAAACCTACACTTAACAGTGTGGCTGAGATCAAGAGAACAGAACGAGCAGATACTGAAAGCGAGCGCATTAAAGTGGATAACGAGCTTGATCAACTGACTTTAGAATGCGAGAATGTTGACGAGGAGGTGCGAGAAATTGAGAAGAAGGTGATGAGCCTGAACGAGCAGGCGGATGACCTTCGGGATGTACGTGTATCTTCCCACTCCTGTGTTATAGTTCTCATTTATACACCTTGCCGCTATAGGCTGCTCAGCAAGAGTCTATGGTCAGCAATGCCGAGGCTGCCCGGTTAGAGAGAGAACTTGCCCATGCGCGCACGGCCGCCTTATCGAGTGGAATGGGAGTAAAATCAAGACTTCAGGCATTACAATTCGAGTAAGTTCCTTTTCCCATTTCAATCCAATCAATTTTTTCATTACCGCCTGCCAGCTATCGAGAGCAAATAGCGAAGGTCTCACGATTAAAAGACGAGACGATCAGAGCTATTGCCAAGAACAGCAATGAGATTGGTCTCTTTAAAGAAGAAGTTTCTGCGCAATTGCGGCGCCTGCGAGATTTTGTTGAGGAGGGGAACTGATCAGTACCCGCGTTAGGTAGTCGCAGTATTTGACGTATTTGTTATAATCTAATTATATGTTAGTAGCGCTGTACCTTTCCGCAGGCGAATAATGCGGATCGGGTCCAAGTGCATGCAAGAAATGATGTTATCCGCACTTCGCTAAACTGTACGACCTGGTCCGACTGCCCGGGCAATTTTGGAGGTTCGGTGAGCCATCGGTGAGGCACATCACTTTGGGTTCTTCCGGCTATTCGAAGCTTCCTAAAATTAAGGAGTGTTCCGAAGATTAGATTTGGACTTAATTCTCATATTGAGCCAGATTGTGCCACGTTGCGAACGCACATGAAGTGGTTGATCATCATGCATGATGGGTCTGATCATTGTATTGGCAAATGCAAGGTACCGGCTTTGGATCGGAGCCATTTATTATCTGATAACACCCACCCACGGGTAATTGTTGTTGATGCACTCGCAGGATGATATGGAACCTTTTTTTGTTGCTAATTTACATTGTGATACAGGCTAGCAAGATAGGGCAATTGTCACTTTTGTTCAGTCTGTTCAGGATTTCCTTTTTGGTCACGCAATTTGATGAGTCTGGTGTTCGCACGTGCACAGCTTAGAGCTAAACTTGTACCAAGATCATTGAAGATCACCCTAGATCACCACGCAGTTCACAAACCCGTGTATGTTTTATTTGGTAGATCTGGTGCCTCCCACTGACAGGCGGTTCTCAAGCAGGACAGGAGCGCGTTCTCAGCCCCGAGACTCCTGCTAAATTAAGCTTCCGTTTCGACTCCCAGGAGTACCTTGCTACATGAACACACGTTCCGTGATCTTGCATGTAGGCCTATCGGCGCTTCAGAAATGACATATGTGTAAGTCTCAATGATTTTCTGCTGGTTGGGACAACTATTTTGGTTACTATCCCGTGAACTGCTCTTACACTAGAGGAACCTTCAGACTGCTGTCGGAATCACGCACATAGTCATTGAATGAATGACCCGACGCGCGACGCCATCTGACATCCAGTACTGCAAACAATGCTCTCCTAAGAAGACGAAGATATTTAGTTGACCGGTCGCCATCGCCAGTTTTCATCGGGCTTTGACACTGTGATTGTGTTTCACGCCCTTCACCCGAATCTCCCTGAATGCCGGTAAGCGACTCAGGAGCCGGAGTCTTGGCTGTGAACATCCTGTGTCGTGTTAGGTCCTATTTTTCAAATAATGTAGTGACAGACTAATTCCGAGATCTACAGGTTCGATTGTCTTTCTCACAAGTTACCTTCTTGGAAATTGTTGGAAAGAATCCGCAGTTTCGAGAGGATAAAAGGACTCAAATTGAATGTCCAAAACTTCGCGCTTCTTACTTCTTCTTCACCCAGCGGGTAGTTTCTCTTCGCGACTTCGGAGCACACGATGTCTACCATACCTGCCTTGGCTTATAATGATGCAGAGAAAGGGACACTAGATCTCCATTCTCCTCAGCTTGCCAATCTCGCAAAGGACGAGAAGAAGGCAGCAGACATCGAGGTGTTCGCCGTACAGTCTCTCAAGAAAGATGCACCGGTCACTCCCTCAAACGTCGCGAAGCCGCCGCCAGCCCCTGTCAAACCAGCAAAGCATAAAACACCCCTGTGGGTCCTCTGGATAATCTGGTACAACAGTTATAGGTATGTTATTATCCGACACCATATGTGGTCGAATGCTCACCCTTCTGATTTATCAAGGCGGTTTTTCACTGTGGTGTTCACAGTCAATTTCATTGGACTTGGTTTTGCCATTGCTGGAAAATGGCCATACGCAGCAAAATATCCTGGTGCTTTGGTCGTTGGCAATTTGAACGTCTCAGTTCTTGTGCGTAACGAGATATTTGGGCGATGCTTGTATTTGTTCGTCAACACCTTCTTCGCCAAGGTTCGTACCATGCATTTTTGAGATTTCAATTGATGTTGATGATTTCTATTATAGTGGACTCCTCTATACTTCCGCCTTGGGTGTACCTCAACTTTACAGGTCAGTTTGAACTTCGAATGACGATTTCAGGAAGCTGATGTTTCGTTACCACAGCATCTTGGTGGAATCCACAGCGGATGTGCAATCTCCGGAGTAGCTTGGATAATCCTCATGGTCGTGCATCAATTCAAAGAGAAGTATCTGTTCAACGATTCCATTCTTGCTTTCGGTATAATCACCACAATTGTGTTGTTCATCACAATTTGTGCTGGTCTTCCGTGGGTCCGGAATACTCATCATAAGTAAGTATTCTTTTCGGTCATTCATCACAGCGTTTTTACATCGCCATCTAGTGTGTTCGAGCGTAACCACCGTTTCTTCGGATGGACTTCCTTGTGCATGACCTGTAGGCTCAACTTTGACGTAGAAAAGCTTACGACCGTACTAATTTTTTGAAGGGATTTACACTATCGTGACCAATGCTTATGACACTGCGGATGGAAAGTTCGACCACGTCGGGAGATACGTCGTTCAACAGCAAGCCTTCTGGTACACAATTGGAATGTCCACCTTGTAAGTACTGCTTTACCTGTATTTTCGATTACGTTGCTCACAGCGGTTTTAGCATTGTTCTACCTTGGATTTGCACGAGACACGCCAAGGTCGACATCGAACTACCCTCTCCCAAAGTCGCTGTTCTCCGCTTCGAGCGTGGCATGCAACAGGGTCTGCTTGCTCGTATTAGTCGCTCAGCTGTCAAGGAATATCACGCTTTCGGTATCATCTCGTGAGTCTTCAGTGTCGTCATTATGCGATACTCCTAACTCTTTGCAGCGAGGGTACTCATGCAAAGTATCACTACCTGATTTGCGGTGTGCAGGGCGATTTCACCAAGAGCCTGGTCAACGACCCGCCGAGAAGGATCTGGACTCGTGAGCTGAAGGTAAACCGACCTCAGCAGTTTTTTCCGATCAGATTGCCAATTTCTTTTCTAGGTCGCAGGTGTCTCTAACACATCGAGGCTTTACAAGCGTGGAATCCGTATCTGCACTGGTACTGGTCTTGGTGCTGCCCTTTCTACTTGCATTCAGTCTCCTTACTGGTACCTGATTTGGATCGGTGCGACAATTTGGACCTCTGGCATATGCATATCACTGACGTTTCTGCAGGCTCTGATCAAGAAAAGACTTTCGGCCCAACCATTAGTGGTCTCATTCACAGACACGTTGGTCAAGAGCGTCTCCTCCTTTGGGACTTCCAAGCTCCGTGGTGGTCGTCCACCCACCATGAAGATCTTGAAGGAGGTATACGAATACTGGCAGGCAGAGGTTGTCTTCATCACCTCCAACTACGTGGGTAACTTTGAAATCCAGCATGGCTGCAAGGAAGCTGGGATTCCTTGCTTCGGAACTCTTTGGGACTTTGTGAGTGACCCTCCAGAATTTAGTCGCTGATGGAGCTGAGGAGAATGCGCTTTGTCAGTAAATTTTCCAACTCACATTGGGCGTGGGATGTGTCGGGCGCCAGACCACCCACACCCTGTTTCTCATCCTTGTGTATCTAACACACTGCTCATTCTGTGCCTCCGGGAAATCTCACAATCACGTATTTTCGGGAACCAAGTTAGCCAGCGTATCAGGGTTCTTTTTTTTCTAGCTGTGACCGCGAGTGGTACTTACTGGCGCAGACGGCTTGGTCAAACAGAAATAGCACTATTAGTTCGCTCGCAGGTGAATGAACGCTTTTAATATTTATTTAGAAATAGATGTGTTTCAGACTTTACACCACTACTCTCCTTGTGCTAGAAATCAATAATTGGCGACAAACATTCCTGCAGCAATCACATTTTATCATTGGGACATTAGAGTGTGCTCGAGAACCACCCCCGACTTTCCCATCCAATTCCAGCGACGATTCGGATTGATGGATGTCTTGGGTTCCAAACGGACTCCACGACTAGCAAGCTCAGTCATCACACGTGCGATGTTCCGTGTGTCCTGTGGGAGAAAATGACAATGTGAAAAAGAATATTAGCAAGGCAGAGTTACATGTGAAATCGAGTACTGACGTCAATACCGCTGTGCAAACGGCCTTGAAACGCTGGCAACCCGAGGACTTGCAACTGCTGTGGTATGTTCAATGATCGAATGTGAGAACGTGCGGAAGGCTGATAAAAGAATCGTGAGTGAGAGTGAGTCCGCATCGACGAAAGTTAATAAGCACCTTGATTGTGGTGTCCGGGTTGCTAGACGCAACTGCCCAAACCGAGACAACTTTCCTGACGTCGAGAATATCCCCTTTGAGCCACAATGGCATAGGCATCTAACAAGACAATGAGATCGATCGAACTTTTAATCGATTCACGTAAACCTGCGTAGACAACTGACCTTCGATATAAAACATTGCTTCACGACGAAATCCCTTATATCAAAAGGTCCGTCACTGCACCAACAGAAGCGTTGTACAGGTCTCCCGCTCTTTGGATCGATTAATCCGTGATTGGCCAGAAAACGTGCAAACATCTTCAGAACATTCTGGAAGGTTGGCGCTGTGTTGACTTGGACCTAATGTTCAATCGTGGCATTGCATTGCATTGAAGTAGAAGCATCAGACGAACTTGCGTGATTCCTGTAAGTTCTGTGCAAAATTGCGATAGCTGAGGTCTCCATGTGGGCTTGACGAAGCTCCTAAACTCATCAACAATTTCCAGCTGGCAAGCTCTTCCTTGGTCCGATTTATCCTTCCAGCGCATGAGACAAACAGGCCACTCCTATGTAAGTGAGACGTGGTCAGGAACTGGGTGTATAAAGAATCATGTAATGGTAGATAAGACGAACTATGATTTCATTAGGCCACTCAAAGCCGGTGCCCTTTTCACAAGTAGCCTCAACGTCCAAAACAAGGAAGGCATCGTAGGGTGGCTTCACACGATGATCCTGCTTTTGAGCACCTTTCACCATCAGATCTTTCTTTTGAGTTTGCGAAGATGACTTTGAAGTTGGTCTGTCAGATATTTGCGAATATGGATGATGATGTATTGAAGGGATGTCTGAACCATTTAAGGGCACTCGAGGAGAGGGAGAACCCTCGACCAGCAGCGAAGAAGAATCTTTCGACTGTTTTGCGCGGCGTGTAAAGACTGTCACAGACCAGATAAGAAACGAAGAGAGTAGAAGGGCTTTCCAATTAGAGCCCAGCAGTTGAATTAGGGATAGGAAGAAGGTCACAAAGGGAAATAACCCGTCCAGGTCAGGGCTTGCAAGCTGCATGATGTTAGATTGACGGTGAGTCCTGGGCAATCGACTCGCTGGTAACTTGTAAGTGATTATTGAGTTCAGCTCAACGTACATTTCATGGTCTGACAAGTATATGTAGACAAGGCCCCTACTAGTATTTCGGCACCATCCGGCAATCATCACGGATCGCGGGCGGCGGAAGCAAAAAGTTTTCTTGGCTCTCGGACCATTTCTAAAGCTTGTTACCGTCATTGTTCTCACCGCTACATCTTGTCTCACAGCAGCATGAATGGTCAACGAGGTGACGACTTGGACGATGACTTCGTGCCAGACGAACTCGTTGCTACCTCTGGTGAGGAGGATAATGGTCCAGGCGATGATATAAGTGGTCTTCTTAGTGCAGATGAAGATGCTGAGGAAGCGGAGGTTTATATCAAGGAGAAATCAATGACAGAAAAGAAACGCAAACGGAGGGAGAAGGAGAAGGAGCGCAAGATCAAGGTTTGTGTCACCTATCAGATCATTGGTCTTTCACTCAATCATTATCTTTCGCAGAAGAGGAAGTTAGCAGAAACAGTCGAGGTTACCGAGCCTCTTTCAGTGGCAGCGCAACCTGCTCACAAACTCGCAGACTATGTCTCATCTATGCAAGTCAAAGCTTTCCCTGCCATGTCTGAGATAGAACTCAGCGACGTCTTGATACCCGGTAAGCTCAACTACACTAGTCCTCAAAGAATGATATCAATTTAACAACTAGACAGAAGCATCGATCGTGGATACAGCGATATGGACGGGATCGAGAACATTAGACAATTTGGTTGAGTTCATTATCGAAGGTATGTCTTTTCATCTTACATGTTGCAAATGTACATTAATGTATGGTAGTTCTTCCGACACTACACACCCGTCTGTCGCAAAGATCCAAAGTGGCTGGAGCTCCCACCTTGCTGTTCATAGCCGGAGCTGCACTCCGAGTTGCTGATGCGACCAGAGTTCTCAAAGATAAGAGGCTGCGCCGTGAGAAGGGTGCAGATGTAGCAAAGTTGTTTGCGAGACACTTTAAACTCGAAGAGCACGTTTCTTATCTCAAGAGGTCAAAAATTGGTTCTGCTGTTGGAACTCCTGGAAGAATCGGGAAACTATTATGTGAAACCGGTGAGCTAGATACTATCCTGGCACATAAACACACTCTCAATATTTCTCAGACGCCCTTTTGGTGTCTCAGCTCACACACATTATCCTGGATATCTCATATCGAGATACAAAGAAAAGAAGTTTGTTGGACATCCCAGAGACTCGGGACGAAGTATTCCGAACTGTTCTAGGGGCGCCGAATGTACTCAAGGGTATTCAAGAGGGGAAAATCCAACTGGTGTTTTTCTAGTCGATCCCATGGGATTAAGTTATGTAAAAGTATAATACTGCATTCTATATAAAGAGACATCACTTAAAATCCCTTCGGGTTGACTCTTAGTGTGAGCTAATAAGTGAACATTTCAATATACCATGCGAAATTAATGATAACCAGCTCACTCTAGTCCATTTGGGCACTTTGTGAATGCCCTTTCGATAGCCTCGTGAAGTCGCACTGAACACCGTGTATTTATCCTTGGGATCCATCTCGTGCTCTTTAGGCAGCTGTAGTGCCTTCTCCTGAAAATACAAATTTAAACCATATGAGACACAGGAAAAGCAAGTCGACTAGCTCACCAATGCACCGCATTGTATGCCACTTGCTCTGACCGTTTCAATGACTGTGTCGACTTTCTTCAGACGAGCACGCGCATTGGCTTTTCGCGTGATCGACAACTTCCATGGCGTTTTCCTGAACAGCAGATATGATGAGAAAATGTTGCTGAATGGGCTGCACGGCTTACCATAGTAGACCGCCTAGATTTACCGACGTAGGTCGGAAAGCACCAAACATTTTGTATGCAAGTCAGTTGGTCGCCGTAGCTTAAGAGGTATTTGCCGACAGATGCCGAGCAGCATCATTTAGAACTCCGATCAGACTTAGTGAATGGACGACTTCAAGCTAAGGATCCATTAACGTCGACAACAACCATGGCGGTAGAAACACAAACCATGCCTGCCATGAACGGACACGCCTTTAATGGTGATGTCGAAATGGAGAATGGCATTCGGGATTCTTCACTCAGGTTTACCAGTGGACTCATCCTGCCACCTCCGGAAATCAAATGTAGGGTCTTTCATTATGTTGTGTGCGTTGTTCTGAAATTTGTTTTTTTTGGCAGCTGTTATTGACAGAACAGCATTGTTCGTCGCTCGCTCTGCGAACCCGCCTCAGTTTGAGGATAAAATTCGCGAGAACCAGCGTCAGGATCCCAAGTTTTCGTTCCTCAACCCCGCGGATCCTTATCATGCTTACTATAGGCATCGCATGGAGAAGATAGAGGCTGGAGAGGAGCTGGATGACACTTCACAAGAAAAGGAAAAGGTGGACGGGGTAGAAGAAATGCCAATGATTCTAGAGGATCTCGGCGTCGAACCACCTCAGCCGCAGTTCGCCATGGACATGCCCAATGTCAGCCCTATTGACTTGTGCGTCGCCTGGTTATGTCCCGCAAGAATGTGGCTAATGATTTATGCTAGAGATATCATGAAATTGACTGCACTTTTCACCGCCCGTCGCGGACGGACATTCTTGGCGACACTTTCGCAAAATGAGGGAAGGAACTATCAGTTCGACTTCCTGCGACCCACTCATTCTCTCTTCGGTTGCTTCAACCGTCTTGTGGAACAGTATCTTAAAATTTTGTATCCAAGTAAGGAGATGTTGGCGGAGTTGAGCAACAGAGCGCAGGAAGGCGCAAAGGGGGCAACGTTAGAGCAGTCCAAAAAATATGCCCGTTGGGAACGCTTGAAAAGGGAGAAGGATAAGAAGAGAAGAGATGACCAGGAGGCAGAGAAACGTGCGTTACTTTTCCCTCCTCGACAACCAATTACGACCGTTTGCTTTAGGTGCATTTGCTGAGATCGACTGGCATGACTATGCAATCGTTCAAACGATCGATTTCACGGTTGCTGATGCAAATTCAGAGCTTCCTCCTCCAATGAGTGTGCAGGAAGTGGAGAGTATGACGCTTGCTCAAAAGAGAATGGCTGCTATGATTATGGAAAACACTGCGGATGAGATAGAAGCTCACAAGGCCAGACAGGCGGCAGCAGAGGCCGAAGCGGCGGCAGCTGTCAGCGGTGTTGGGATTGGGGCTGTTGAAGACGAGGACGCTGCAATGGAACAGAGCGATGATGAGGACGATGAAGCGCAACTAAGGAAGAAGAGTGAAGATGAGGAGAGAGTGAGGGAACTTGAGCGCGCCCGCGCGATGCAAGCAAGTGCCAGCATTTCTGGACCTATGAAGATTAGGACAGACTATATTCCAAAACGTTTGTTGTCAGCATTGTTCTTTCTGATACTCAACTTACCTTTGAATATTGCAGTTGGTGCTAAGAAGGGAACTACCCTCACGACGTGCACGATTTGTGGACAGCAGATTCCCGTTGACGAACTTGATGAGCACATGCGTATTGAGCTGCTGGATCCCAAATGGAAGTCTCACCGTGACAACATTGAAGCTCGTAAAGCTCAGGCGTCCGAGCTTCTGCGCGGTGCAAACGTAGTATCGTCACTCAAAAACTTGGCCCGTACACGTGTGGACATTTTCGGCGCTGAGGCTGACGAGGAGAGGCGGAAGAAAGAGGAAGAAGAAGAGAAGGAACGCCGGAAAGAGAGGGAGAAGGTTGTGTGGGATGGTCACACTGCAACAAAAGTTTCTACGATGGACAAATATTCAACCAATGTCAACTTCGACGAGCAAATTGCTGCCATTCATCGTGCAAAGGGTCTTGGACCTCAGGATTCCAATGCGATCGGCCCTGGAATCGGCCCTGTGTCAGCACCTCCGCCTGCAATGACGGGTCTACCTCCACCTCACGCATCATTACCTGCCCCTCCTGTGCAATCATCCGGGTCAGCTTCTTACTCTTCCGCTACTATTTCATCTGGCCCGCAGCCGGCGTCAGCATATCCACCTCAAGCACCGCCTGTCATGCTCCCACCTCTTCACTATCAAGGTCTCGACTCTGCGCAGCCGTTCGGTTACCAGCCTCCTGCCGCTGGGATGCATCCTTCTCGTATGGCAGGAATGATGGCCGGTGGTGTGGGAACACAGCCACACGCGGGTATGGTGCGCAGCGCAGACGAGATGGAAGGACTAGAAGAACAGCCTGCTATCAAACGGCAAAAAATTGCGAAACTGCCTGGTGGTGCTTTGTATCCTGAAGCAGACTGGGTTGCAATGCATCCCTACACCATATCACTCTTCGTGCAACTTCCCAATGATCCGTCCAAGCCGGAATGGAAACTTAACGGCCAGACGGTCACTGTTACAGACCTTCCTCTAACTTTGCTGGTTTCAACGCTGCGCGATCGGATAAATCAAGTCATTGGCAGCAATCTCCCTCTTTCCAAAGTTCGAATATCGTATGCGGGTAAGATGCTGACGAACAACAGTACTATTGCTAGTCATAATTTGGAGGAGGATGATCTTGTTGTACTTAGCATCACTGCTGGTAAGAAGAAGTGATCGCTTGTACATTTATTTTTTTGTAACATAGGGTGCGTAATTCTATGAAGGCATGACATATAGTAAGAGTGTATAAAATAAAGTAAAAGTCAACCAAGGGTGAAATAATAATAGGCACTACAGCGCAATAACAAGATAATATAAACCCGATGAAACTCAAGACCCAAAGAAACCTGAAACCCGATGTAACCTAAGACCCAAGGAGATAAAGAGAACATCATCATGAATGATATGACGTAAAGCCCACGATGACGCTGGACCTATACTACCCGCTGCTGGTCCGACCTGTCCAAGTCATAGGGTAACACAGCGACGACAGATGATGTTGATGATGTTGAAGGAGACGACCATGAACGATGCATGTTAGGTCTCGGAGATAGCGTAGCACGACCCCGGAACGACTCCTCCTGTGATGTCTCCCATTGCTTCTGGACTGCTACGACTGGCGTGACTGGTTGCGATGCGCTCAGAAGGTGTTCTTCAAATGCGCCTTGCTCGCTGTTCATGGGCACCATGTCTCGCAACCACTCGTCATCCTCCTGGGAGGGGGTCTTGAGAAAAGCTGGTTGCCGACGAAATACGCTGTACGGCGACGAGAGGTGCGGTGAGTTTGTTAGGGATGGGGGTACTGGCGTGGGATCGCACTGCTTTGGGAGATGAAGCGATACGGACCTGCCCTTGCGCATTTTTGGTGAGGAACTGCCTGACATTTTTGATGAGAACGAGTCAAGAAACAAGTCGCAGTAGCAGACGGATCGTCTGGTCTCCTCTGATTTTAAAGCCAGGGGGGCCTAAGCCTGGTCTTCATAAATATCATCACGTACAAGCCAGATATAGGATTAATATTCGATTATTATAAATAATTTAAGTTGGTTCCACCAAGGGCGCAACTGCCAACAAGTCGCCGGCACGCAGCACTTCCCCAGGGAATCCCCGCACAGCTAGGGTCGATGACAAATCTGTGTTAACATAATGATCGAATCCTCGGAAAATACTTAGAAATGAAACCTGTGTCAGGAAATCCATCTAGAACGTACAGGATTATACTAACAAAGTTCCGAATACGAAATATATTACTAGCGCGTCATACCTCAGATCACAAAACTCGACGACAGAGTAACGCTAGAACCAAAACAAGTAGTACACAAATCGCGGTATCAAGAATTAGCGGAGGCCGGTGTGAACTACGATGTGCGAGTTGCGCAGTTCCATGCATGTGGACTTGTCGCTCTTCTTCAATCCTATCGGACTGACGGACGGGAGTGGCCGTCGAGCCGTCTTGAACAACTTCGACGTCCGCGGTGTCGGCAGGTAGACTTAACGGCAGAGACAGTACGTTTGCATTCTTAGACGGCCCCTCCTTGGGATCAGGGAGATGCTCTAGATTACACTGATTACATTGTGGGCAAACCCACTCCCGTGACCTTAATGGGTTAATGGGTTACGTTAGATTTATTTAGTACAAACTAGGCCGAGGCTTACAATTGTGCCAGACGCTTGCGTTCCGATAGGGGATATTCGACAGAACCAACACCGGTAGCTGCCTGACCCTTCAGAGGGAAAAATCCTTGGAGTCCAATTATGGCTTATGAAAAAGTTCAGGCACACTAATGCCGAACGAAAGCGCAGAGAATTACCTGTGCGAACACCCCATGCTGGCTGCCATTCCTCTTCATGGTCTAAGGTACAACAGACATTAGTTAATTGACTCCACAATACTGCAGGAGTAACCAACAGTTTGTAAAGCTGATGCATATCTGATCCACAGAAGCTCGACGTAATTCTGGCATCTGATTGGCAAGGGGCGTACCTTGGTATTTAGATCGAACCGTCCATTGGGCGTAAGCATCATTAGGGAAGGCGGTCGGAAGGGGTATTCTGCTGGAAGAACTATCCGGAAATGATACAGACCACCTTCAAATTCTGTACCAGCGGGGCCACGAAGTGTACAATGCCATTCCTATAATCTGTCATTCGATACGTCGACGCACTATCGGTAAACGTTACATACAAAGATATCATCCTATGGTTGCGGAGTCCGAACAAGCGTGTGTCGGCGGTGATAAGAGACTCGTGCGTGTTAGGAGCACGCACCTCGAGAGGAACTGCATGGTAATCGGTGCAGGGATCGTTGGCGAGTTCCCTGGCCTCTTGCATTATCCGCTTCACAGCTATGTGGGTGACAGGTCAATCTACAGCTAGAGTAAGCAGACTAGTGTTGGCGCACCGGAATTATTCTTGTTGAGTGCAGGCATCGGCGCCTCGGTGCTTCAGGCTTCAGCTGTAGCAAGAATATGGTACAGACTTGAAGTTTACAGACTATATACCGAGGATCAAACGGGATGCTACTTTGAAGTTAGAAGTAGTGGAAATCCTTCGAGATGATTGTAAACGTGGAGGGATTCAGATGGGTGGGCTATTAACGCCGTAACGGCATCACACTACTGAGGTCACGTGGGTTGAATTTTCAGGTGTTAAGTTTAAGTCCTGGTCACGACGAGCCCTTATTCTGCTTTCGCGCAAACTTATACCTTGGTTCTACCGTAGCGTGGGTTGAGTACTGGGTTGATATTCTACAGAAAAATGACGGTACACATTGCCAAGGTCAAGGTCAGACCTCGGAAAAGTGAGTCCCAAAATTATCCTCTCTGCGCAGGTCATTTAACTAATGCCACGGCCCACGCGTAGACTTACCCCCGAATGTCTGTGCAGTGGAGCTCTCAAATATGCTAGGGTGCTGGGCAGCAACAGGCGACATGTTATCCAGCAATCAATGTCAAGCGGCAGCCGAGACTTTGTTTCAATGCATGCGCACAGCAGTAAGTCTGGACAGCCGCATTCAGTGTATAATGTGTTCACTGCGTCGCCTTGCAGCCTGTCCGCGGCAAACAACCTAGATCTTCGATAAATTACCACCTCGCTAGACTGGGCAGAAACTCCAAATAGTCTTATATGATATGCAGCTCCCCTTGCATCGCACACAGCTTCATGAGTTTCAGCAATGCCTGGCTTTCATTCAGTGTCATTCTGAAGCCGTCATACGTCAGATCATGACACGCATTTTCCGCTCTGCGTTCCCGTTGTGCTGATTTCAGGAACGTGTCGGATTTCTCCAACTAGAAAACCCTAGCTGCCTCTTGAGTTTGCAGGGTCTTGTTTTGAAATGGCACTCGACAAATTGTCCGTATCTTTGGACAGTATGAGCGTCCAATGCATACATCTATCGTGTTTCGCCCTCAAATCCAGTCCTTTGGAGTTCACGTGAGTGTTCAAACGTTCAAGGCCAAAGCATAGATCTGTCAGGTTCCGTTCTGAAATCCATACACGACCCACGCAACAGCAGGAAAACCGTCATGCACGACATATTTAGCATTCCGCAATATCATGAACTGTGTGCTACTGTGTGCGTTTGCGTTCACTTTCGATCATCCCCTGACAGCCGGCGGCCAGGATTTTGTGTACGTCTGAGGGTTAGTCCGCAGTGCACCAATGTCACTTAGTAACATGAAAGCATTCACGCGCACAAGCCAGTCAAGTCCAAGAAGCAAGACTATAATGTCTGTACTTTATGTGCATAAGTTACTGTTACATAGAAAGCATATGCATGCAAATGCGACTAACTACGACGTTAATGTAGCATAATACAGAAAACAAAATCGCAAGAAAAGGAAAAAAAAAAACAGGAAGAAAAACGAGATGACGAACAAGATGACGAACAAGATGACGAACGAGAACTACGCTAGACGAAAAATGCCAAAATAAAAGGGAAATACTATCGGGGACCTGTCTTCGAAGAAGTTTGTGTAGAGGGCTGTTTCGCCATGTCTTGCTGCCGTTGCCATATTAACTCTGCCCATAATGGATTCGGTGGGATGTGCCCGACAAGTGCACGGAACACATCAAGCCTGGAAAGATATGTAAGCCGGATGGCGTGTATGAACGAGGTTGGACATACCACTTCGCCTTCTCATCATCCGTGTCTGCGAAGAAAAATATTTCTTGGTTTCCAGGAAATACGAGACGGAAGGAACGCTCGACTGTGATCATCCCGTCGTAATCATTTACTGACCGAGCAGGACTGAGAGCGTCCGTACGCGTATCTTGGTTGTCCTCAACTGCGATGGCTTTCTTGAGGTTGATGGTCGCCGTTGCCTTCTTGGTGACATCGTTAAATGCAACAAGATTCGCGCCAATAACCCGAAGACGACGTCGCCGCCATGTCTGCAGTGAAACTAAGTGACCGTTCCACGAGGTGGTAAAAATCGCGTACCATGCAATCCCCTCCATGCTGCGTAAGTGTACCCTCGAAGTACGTGACTTTATGCCAGGCGACGTGTCTTAAACCTCGATGACAGTCTTCAAGACTCTGTGGAAGCTGATTGCTCAAAACGCCAGGTAGAGGTGGAAGTCTAAACATCTGCAATACGATCTCTCCCAACTCCATGGTAGTTGGACCCCCTGAAGCTTCGATGCGCTGTCCGATTAGTGGATAACTAGTCTCGAATAGCCGAGTATCGCATCTCGCAGCCACATCTTTGAATGAAATCAATGCACGTGCGAGGGTTCCATCCTGTTTGAGATACCGTGCGAGATTATCTGGGAGTTTATAAGGAGGGGCAGGTGGAGGGGGTGGAGTCGCACGAGGTTGCTTTTTAGGTGTTGACGAGAAGAAGCTAAGCATGCCACCCCTAGACTTGGGTGCGACTGCTGGGGGCTGCACACGTGGCGCAGGCGGTGGCACAAGAGCCTGTGATTGGGCGGTGATATGTGCATCACGGCGCACCTTGAGGGTTAGAGTGAACTCTAGCTTGTTGTGCTCGATACTGTTGCGGGATTAGCACAATCTACAAAATTGATAGCGACAAACTTACAGCTCAAACTCTTGATCGATGCGCGAATCTCTGGATAGACGGGTTTCTGGAGTAGTAACAAAATGGATTCCGTTGTTCAAAGTACATGTAAGAGCTGTGGCTTGCTGGGGTATAGGCACTTGCAACCCGCGAACACCAACGACTGCATATCAATGATCTTATGAGCTATAGATTTCAAGGGTAATATAATGTTACTGACCTCTGACAAACACCTTGCCATGCGCCTTCCCAGGCTTTTCCATTGACCTATATTCCTTGATTTGCTTGGAATATTCATTCTAGAACATTAAAAATATTGGAATCAATTGCGGAAGAGGCAAACAATCAATTACCATATCCGATGGTCGTCGGACGGCCTTCCATGCCTTTCCACCATTCACGTCACCAGCAAGTGACATATGAGAGACCTGCTCTGTATCGGCGGACGCAAAAATCGCCTCATGCTCTCGGATACGATATTTCTGCGTACAGATTAACGTGAGCACCTTAACATGCAACAAAAAACCAATTAGCTCACCCCTTTCCTATGTTCAGGGTCAAGTTTCTTCAACTCTTTCGAGATGCTGTCAGCTAGAAGGTCGCCTTCACTGTCAGAGATGCCGAGGTCAAGAAGCATATCACTTTTCGCCGGGGCACCAGCGTCACCAGTACTCTGACTCCGCCGACGTGAAGGTCTGCCAGCGGGCGCTGCACGGGGCGGGGTATAATATCCCAGTGATTCATCGTCATCTCGTCTTCGTGCCGCCCGACGCTTCTCGAGAATAAGCTCCTCTCTCTCACGTATCGCATGCTTCGTCTGCAACGGTTGCTCTTCTGCCACCACGGGGCTGCTGAACGCTGGGGCGGTGTAAACTATCGAGTCTGTCGCCGCGCGCTGCAATGGTGCCGCCCGTGGTTGTACCACAAGGCTGTCCATGGACATCGACGCATCGAAGTCCGTCTCCGTGCGCATAGAATCATCGCCCGTACCAAAGCTGTTGTCGAATTGGCCTGCTCTAATGCCCTCAGTGACAGACTCGACGCGCATGTGCGTGGGCCTTCTCGGGCTTTGGCTCCCACTCGCTGTGCCTTTGACATCATCCATAAGTCTGTCGAGTGCTGAGCGCATCTCGCTGAACTGGACGGAGTTCACAGAATCTCCGAGACCTGGACTAAGGCCGAGGCTGCTGTTAAGCTCAAAACTCGCATCAACAGACAGCCCGATGTTCGTAGGTGGAGCAAGAAGGTCGAGGGAGCTCCTTGTAACGGCAGGATTCGGAGACTCCTGCTGACTTAGTGCAACAGCCGCAGAGTTAAGCGTGCATTTCTCCGCAGTTTGGATAGTTGCAAGCTCGGCGCTAATATCCGTCATCACCGACATTGACTCCACGCGTTTCTCCTGTTCTTTGTCTTCTTCGGTCTCCGCATCACTGATGATGCTGTCCTCCTGGAGAAAGTCACAGGATGCAATTTGTTGGGGAGGCTTTGCATCAGCAGCTTGCTCAGCCACACCATCCAGCACCAAAGGACTGTCCGTACTGCGCTTGCGCGTGGGGCGCATCTGCATGACCTTGTCGAGGGCAGAGCGCACCTCGCCAAGCTGCACTGAGCTCATGGAGTCACCAAGACCTGCACTAAGATCAAAGCTGTTTGAAATGTCATACGTCGTGTCAGGAGATGAAAGAACGTTCGTAGGCGGTTGAAAAATAAGTTGAGTTGGGCCCCTCAGCGGCATAGCGTTAAGACTCGGGGACCCTCGCTCTGCAGCTTGAACAGTTGCGAGCTCGGTACTGATATCCATCATCACCGACACCGACTGGACGTGTTCCTCCTGCTCTTCGTCTTCAACTTCTATATCGGCAACGTCGTTGCCATGAGACTCGGTTTGTTTTGGGAGTTGTGCATCTGCGTCTTGCTGAGATATACTGCCCGACGTCATGGGACTATCCGAGCTGCGTTTTCGCATGAGACGTGTTTGGATATCCTCTCTGCTGATGCGAGTCCTTGGGGAGCGTCCTGCGCTGCTATCAATGGAAAGGTTAGGCGAGCTCGCGGACTCGCAGAGTGGGGAGCCTTGGCGTAGGGCAGGTGAATCCCGACGGACGGCTGGAGGAACGATGGGTGAAGGGGGGTTCTGAGGGGAGCCTACGAACTCCAAAAGCGCAGAGGGAATTGGATCGAATACTGTGGCTGGCTGCTCGCTTTGACCAGGGCTGCGATGGTCATCTTCCTCAGAATAGAAGGTATCATGCCGGGCTTCCTTACAGTCCAATTCCAGGACATCAACATCCGGACGGACGGTTGGCGGACTGATATGTGACGGGAGGCTCGGAGGAGGGTCTACTAACTCTAAGAGCTCAGAAGGAAGGGAGCCAAATATTGCGGCCGCCTGGTCGCGGTGATCAGGATCAGGAGTACCATAGTCATCTTCATCAGAATGAAAAGGATCATTTTCCCCTTCCTCGCGGTCAAACTCAAGGACATCACAACGCTCATCCCATGTTACGGTTTTTCGTCTCCGGCGCCTACGTTCAAGGGAGGGCTGGTCAGCAGTTCGAGGACCATGGAGGCGTTTGGTAACGAGCGATGGGCGGGTGGGGGTAGCTGCCTTTGGTGGATTTGCACTCCTAATATCAGAAGGCTCTGGAATTGGTGGGATAGGGATGGACTTGGAAGGTACTGGGGGTGGAGTTTCTTCCCGGGCGCCAGTAGGACGTTTGAATGGGCTCTTTGTGACAGGCTCCTTCTCCGCGAGTCCCTGGTAGACTTTCGACTGGCGGCGCTCCCGCTTGAGGGCAAATGGACGCTCGTTTTCAGCTTGGTCATGCATGGAGTCGGGGCGGGGACGCTTCTCGCCACTGACCCTACGCTGCGGGAGTTTAGGGAGAGAGATATTGCTAATTGGAGAAGTAGAAGGTCTGGATGGCGTTGGAATTGAAGACTTGAAAGGAGATTTGGAAACAAGATTGTTGTTTCTGAGATGTCTGTAACTGGATGAGGATCGACGAGCGACAAGGGGAAAGGCTGGTTTAGAGCTATCACGCTTTGAAATTCGAAGAGGTGTGGTGCCCGTGCTAGCAATCGGTGAAGAAGACTTGTTCCAGCCCATGGCAGAATTGCGACGTATGGATGATTGAACAGGATCAGACGAGTTGGAAAGGAGCGATTGTGGTGACGCTATGGAATTTATATGTGCGCTCATTGTGAGCGCTATTATATGGTTAACCGCCCGATGTCGTCGCTGTCGTGAACGTTGAGCTCGATAGTGAGCTGGTCGTTAGGGTCGTTGGCGGGTGTATCTCGGTTGTGGTAATGAACAAAGATAATAGTCAACAAACACCGTGGGAATCTACGCGTACGCGTCGATGCATGTGATCGCGAAGTAGAACTTCTACTGATCTGGACTGGAGTAAAAACCTCTTCTTTGGAGTGTTCTGAACTTCTTGCAGCAGGCTTAATTCCGCACATCTCGGCCGCATTATTTATCATTGCATGATTCCTGCCCCTCTCATGGACCAGCCAGGGCTAGCCTGGCATATCTTGATTGGATGATTGGCTCGGTGGTGTCCTTCAAGTCGGACTTGATGATGGAGGCGAAGAATCGAAGAATCCCCGAAGGTATAAGATAGAGTTGAAGTTGCAACCTAGCAATCCATGGGGATATCATATTATATATGTCTTGTCAATCATCGAAATTTTCCCTCCACAACCGAGCAACCCACGTCTCGGATAATCACGTCTTCAGCCTTCCGAATCCAACGTGGGTGAATTGTAGAATGTTGGGGTTCCCTAACAAGCAACTTTTGTTGTCACTGATATCATATCTTCTCTCAGTGCGTGCTGTGGAGCTTCTACATAGGTGTGGTGTCACAAGCTGCATGCAAACCGCAGTAAGTGCTCGTTGGACGTATTCGATGTGAACCCAGCCTGAGTCCGCAACGGTAAACTAGCTAGATCGTCGATAAATTACCATCTCGCTAGACACTCCAAATGCTCATGCTCCTTCTATCTGTAGTTCCCCGTGCCTAACAAGTCCATGCATGTACCACGCGAATTCCAGCCATGCACGACTTTTCTACAGCACGACTCACACGTGTTTTCCACACCTTTTCCCCGCTTTTACATAACATTCGCTTGCTGCGTTATTTAGGGGGGCTATAGCGAGAGCCGAGAAGGTTGGGTGGAGGCCACACTCACACGGCTGTAGGTCACTGGGCATATTCTATTTTTTATTCTTGACGCCGGACAAGTTAACAGATAATACAATTCGGGGGTTAGTTTCTCGTAACCACGCACAGCAGCGCGCACTCGTCGGACTTTGTTTTTCTCCGTCTTTAATCCAGCGGCACAACAGCAAGTGCGCCCGAGGTAGGTGTAGAACAGATTTTCAAGTCGCATCTGTAGGCATCGGGGTAAGCATCCTTGTGACTGTGCAGTGCGGTGCAACACGCCCACTAGGCTGTGTAGCGTTAAGTAACCCCAAAATGGAAGGCAGTCCACTTAACGGCATGCTTGGTCCAGTACAAATTAAGGGCTCCTGAGTTCACGAGACACCTCACTTATTCCCCCTCCCAAATGAGAGTCTCATGTCAAACAATAGAAAGGTCGCTATTTTCTGGGACTATGGTAAGCTTTCTATCCAACTGCCTACTATAGCTCATGTCCTCTGTCAGAAAATTGTAGTCCTCCCTTGAATTCTCAAGGACATGCCATTGTAAATGGCATTAGACGAATTGCTCATGTCTTTGGATACGTAATATCGTTCAAAGCATACTTTGACATGTCCTCGCAGTCCTCCCAGAAGTCTGTCGGGTTTCGCTCTGACCTTCAGTCCTCTGGGGTGTCCATAATTGACTGCCCCCACAACGGCAAGAAGGAAGTCGTGGACAAGATGATTCTTGGTGTGTATTCCGCAAGGCGCCCGTAGTGTGCACTATGAACTTCATTTTTAGTGGATATGATTACATTTGCTGTCGATAATCCTTCACCTGCCACAGTCATTCTGATAGCCGGTGACCGAGATTACGCTTATGCCATATCAACCCTCCGCCTTCGACAGTATAATGTCGTTCTCGTCGTACCTCCAGCCCCAAATATTCCCCAGAGCTTGGAGTCTCAGGCCTCTGTCGTGGTGGATTGGAATTTTGCTATTCTTGGAAAGCGCACAGAAGCCGATACAGCACCGGTGCGGCAACCTTATCGCAACCTTGACGAAGATATCGTAGAGCGGTTATCACGCGAAATTTGCGATTCAAACGAAGATCCTGCTGTCACTCTTCTTTCTTCGAATCTCCCCACAGCACCGACCCATACGCGGCGCGTCAGTGCAGCAGAGCTGCTACAGCCGTCAGTATTTGAACAGAGTTCAGACACAGCTCCAGGTGATGCTACTCAACCTGCCTCGACGTTGACGCCGAAGAAGGTTTCTAGCAAAATCCATGAGACGCCTGTACGTTCTAGATTCGAGTCTGTGGCGTCGCGGACTAGATCCGCGACACAGTCGACACATAGTGTCTCAGACCTCGAACAAGGCTCGGGCTCCCCTCTCAAAGAGCACAAAGCACTTTCAAATGAAAGTCTCGCGGACAGTTTCGTTAGCTACGCTAACGAGATTCAGGATGCGACTCGAGATCCTTTTTCCAGAACCTTTACCGGTCTGGAACGCAATCAGAACAGCGCAGAGTCTGGCCCACTACCGGCCACAGGCTCAAGTAACTTCCCACTTTCTCCACCGCCCGCTGTCACGTACAACGTTGATTCGAAGAACACTCCCCTCCCCCCTTTATCACACACCCGTACCATCTCAGGGGGCACCTCCATCTCATACGACGGCAAACCACAGAACGCTGTACCTGCTGCAGTGCCCTTGTCACCTATAGTATCCTCACGGGGACGGAGTGATGACATTACTGCACCGAGTTCAGCGAACATCGACCTTACCTCAGCCATGTTGGATAATCATGCCGTTGCGTCGGACAAAGCGGCACTCCAGGACGCCTTTGGAATTGATGACGAAGACGGAGACGACAGCAGCACTAGCGAGTTTGATACCTCGGGTGACAGTCCAATTTGGACTACGGTCGACGTTACGAACCCTCTGTTTGATCCTCCGAGTTCCTTTACCCCTCCACATTCTGTAATCACCATGTCCTCGTCGACGCCGTCTTCGCCGGCTCTGACTGTCTCCGATTCTGATGTGAGCACGTCTAACGTTGACGTGGACTCACAACAAGCATCATCTGTTATCAGTGATAACGAAGACAATCCTTCTGCGTGTCAAACGCCTCCTATCGAGTCCGTGGAAGATAAGATTCGACGTAATACACCTTTGAAGTTCCTCCCCCTGATGAATCGGCTTTTGCTGGCGAGGTCAAAAGGGGAAATGAAACCATCAAGGTCCATAATTGCTGGTGAATTGGTGCAGCATGACAAGAATGTGTACCTGAGCGCTGGAGTGACCAGGTTCGCGCAATACACTGCACTAGCAGAACATGCTTCTCTTATCCAGCTTGGTGGGCGGGAGGGCGACGCATGGATAACACTACATCCGAATTTGTTAAGGCAGGACATCGACTTGGATACACCTCAGTCATCATCCACCCCATCGACTGTCCACAGCAACAACTCTCCTACGCCACAGGACAACATTCCTCATACCAAGACGCCAAGTCCGACTCCATCTCCATCAGCTATGCCACCACCGACGCCAGGTCCCACCAAACCACCCCCGCTGAACCCAAACGCTGAACCTTTCAGGGCAATTGTGCCGATTCCGCTTTGCTTCCGGCCGCTCATCATCTGTCTGGCTAAGTTTCACACGGATGGGGTACCCAAGCCTGTTCGTTCAATAGTTGGTCAAGGGCTTGGACCCGCGACATATTCTCAAGCTGGCACGTCCAGCCTGAAAGAATATCTGGCTCAAGCTGTGCACGCCGGTGTTGTGGAATGTGGAGGACATGGTGATACCGCGTGGGCGAGGCTTCACCGTGATGTGTTGAATGGAAAACGTTCTTATTAGTTTGGTTTGTGGTTTATGTGTGTTAAGGTTCGAGTTTGTTACTTGTTGTACGAGTGTATATTGGATATCGGGAATCAAGCGTTCCCTAGCAGAGGGCTGTATTTCATGGACAGGAAGTCGACACATAAGTGACGCCCTCGTCCCTCAACAAGATCTGAGACACCCATCCTTGTGGTTCCTTGCTCTTTCAGGCGCACATATTGACCAGTATTTCAGCATTTGGGATTCTGTCAGGAGAGTGTGTCAACTTAGTACGGCTTGATGGGCTCAGTTATCCGGAAGAGAAAATCAATGCTCACCTCTGTTCTGTGACAGCCATTCTAGTCATCGACCCATTTATCGAAACAAAAGGAACACTGAGTCGACTCCGTTGTATTGAACAGGCAACAGGTCATCTATGTCGAGAGCGATTGTGAGATATCCTCGCTGACAATACGTGATTCGAAACTTGACTGGGATCTATGATATTCCCAGTCCACGCAAGTTCACTGTTCAACCACAGTGATGCTACGCGGAAACCGTAAAGTTCCGTAGATGTTGTGCAATTCGCTCAAGACGCGCAGCAAACGCAAGATCTTTGAGAGAGGATGGAAGGGCCCGTGTTGTCTTCGAAGCGGGTATGTCGTGGAATGGATTGAAAATGCCCATATAACACGACGTGCAGAACCGCAGATTACCAAACAGCATGTGTCACAGTATCCGAGTACTATCCCCAGAAAAGTCGTCGGGAAAACTTTCATTACGACCTGACTAAAATTCCGAGCAGCTCCTTTGTGTGCTTCGAGTCAACATTCATGACATCATTCGTTCTATTCTACCACTGGCCTTGTTTATTTGATGCCATCGTAATCCATAGCAACTGGCAGTGAAATAAATCAATGAAGAGCAGGCTAGAGACTCCTAGATCTGGACCTGGTCAAGCCTTCAAGCAAAATATATGCAAATGGCTAAACACTCATAAATTGCGGGCATTAACTTGAAGACCCCATTGAGAAATCGGCTGATTTCGAGCTCGTCCCTCTCTATCGACGAACACTCCGTCAAGCTTCGCAAGCGAATTGTCAAGATGGAGTTGACAGGGTACCGATTATCATAATTCATGCGACTGGCTAATATTTACGTAAAAATGTAGATAACTGTGACTACTACAACAGCTTTGAGTTGTTCGGACGAATGGGTTGCACGTAAGGCCAGTACTAGTGGAACTATCTTTTAGGATCCGACGTATACGAGTCAAGCCCAGTCATTCGTTTTTGCGTCTTTTACGTCTGGGTTAAGACTCACCTGCACCATGACGACAAGTGTGCATCCTAACGCACAGGCAGGCTTCGCGACTGGGACGAATGAATTATATGATCGGTGGGTAACTATTTGCGCGGTCCAGCATGCGTTAATTCTGTTGATTTGGGTGCATCCAGGGTTCGCCCCTTGTACCCAGCCGATTACCTTTCTTATGTTCGCAGCCAGGTACCCAAGAGCACCGTACCATTGAAAATTGTTGAGTGAGTTAAATGCATTACTTCTATACTTTCTCCCCTCAATTAACTTTCAGGATTGGGGCAGGGACGGGCATGTTCACCCGTGCCTTGTTGGCTCACTCCGAATGGTCGTCGAGCATAGGCACTCTACGGGCTATCGAACCAAGCGGTGGCATGCGTGATTTTTGGACGAAGTCTGTCCAAGATAATCGCTGTACTATTGTCAATGGGACATTTGACGACACCGGCGTGGAAGATGGGTGGGCAGACCTCATTATAATCGCACAGGCGAGTAGTTCTAGACTCAATTAGATGCAGACGCTCATCCCTCGGTTATATAGGCATTCCATTGGTGTCTTGACTATGGGAAAGCTTTCACTGAGTTCGCTCGTATCTTGAACAAGGGCGGGGCGGCTGTATTTGTATGGTACCTTGCAGATAGGTTCTCTACTGCAATTCTCTCCTGCATCAAATCTTCTAACAGCGTTGCAGGGAGGCTGCAGGTTGGGTTGCGCAAGTTCAGCACTGTGTCGAGGCCCGTGGGAATGGCAGTCCCCGATTTCGCCTCGATGTCTTGAGGCAGGCGTTCTCTACCCCTGAGTATACCTCGTTATTTCATCCCCAAGAAGAGGCACAATGGGCTCATCATGGTCTTGCCACCGACCAAATTGTCACGGATCGCGCCCTCAGTTGGAGTTACATTACGATGCTCCCTCCAGATGAGAAAGCTAAGGTAGCGGAGGGCATCAAAGGTATTCTTGAGCGAGGAGATGGTAAAGTCTGGATCAGCAAGGAGCAGGGCACGTATCAGGACCCACATACGGCTCGCACGATGATATCAAGAAAGAAGTAGAACCGTTGAATAGCCGTCCATGGGCTTGCGGATCTTTAGAGGATCACCGGCCGGGACTATGTCACTTACAGGTATTTCGAAATTTGCTATGACGACCATTATTTTGGGAAGACTACCTACGTTTGCGTGCATCCCGAAGTCAAAGCTCTTCGCCTGCTTATGATGACATTTCGTACAGCTTAAATCAGGTATTAGACTACTGTGGCAATATGCACTGTGCTAATGTCAGTACATTTTTCCCCAAGGAGCAAACCAAGTTTCGGGCCAAGTTATCGGAAGCTTCAAGGTATACTCATTTTCTATTGTAATTCCATTGGATCGCTGACCGACAATTCCTTCTTCCTGCCAGGCGCTTCCATCTTTGAGGCTTTCATTAGAACTAATGACCAAGTCACAAGTTGGTCCTCTATTATAGGCCACGCAATATAACACTTCATCCAGCGTTTCAAACTTTCGTATGAACACCATCACAACAAGGATTTCGGCCAGAACACTGAAGACTAGAATCAGACGCTGCCACCAACTAGCACGTTGGATGCATTCAATCTTTCACCAACGTGTGAGAACTGCACGCACAGCTGTGCCAGGTTGCTCACACGCCGCATTTCCTTTGCAAGATCACTGGCACCACCAGCGAACGCCGCACCTGTGTATACATCTTCGTTCTATGTCCTGTGGATCACTGTAGTATTGACTTGACGCCTGTAGACTATATAGTGGGTACCTCCGCGCTGGTCGGACTTTGCTTTCAAGTCAGCGACGTGGTAGAATACACTCGAATACTCCGTAGAGACGTTGTTTGCAGAACAACAATTCAAGCATGTTCAATTTGCATTTGCTCCTTCGAATATCTGCGAGCGCTGCCAAGCGAGCCTCGAGCGAGCCGCACTGCCCAGGAGCGGCGCAAAATTACCGCCTCCGAAATAGAAGCGGTTTATAAACTTACGGCACCTGGATTCCTCGAGTCTGGAATTGAGTGACTACTACGTACCCGTGCCAGCCTGAGTACACGACTTATACCCCCCTTCGCCAATGCGAGTTTCATGTCAAACTATAGTAAGGTCGCTATTTTCTGGGACTATGGTGAGTTTCTACGCACAGTCGCCTCTGATAGTTCATGGAGTATATCTTCCGTCAGAAAATTGTAGCCCTCCCTTGAATTCGCAAGGACATGCCATTGTAAATGGCATTCGACGAATTGCTCATGTCTTCGGATACGTCACATCGTTCAAAGCATACCTTGATGTATCCTCACAGTCCCCCAAGTCTGTCGGATTTCGCTCCGACCTCCAGTCCTCTGGGGTGTCCATGACCGACTGTCCCCACAACGGCAGGAAAGACGTCGTGGACAAGATGATTCTTGGTGTGTGTTTTGCGACTAGCGTCTGTACCATGCACTATATGCACTATGAACTTTCGTTTGTTAATAGTGGATATGCTTGCATTTTCCAACGACCATCCTCCGCCTGCCACCATTATCCTGATAGCCGGTGACCGAGATTATGCCTATGCCGTATCAACCCTCCGCCTTCGACGGTATAATGTCGTTCTCATCGTACCTTCGGCGCCAAATATTCCACAGAGCCTGGAGTCTCAGGCTTCTGTTGTGGTGGATTGGAATTTCGCTATTCTTGGAAAACATACAGAAGCCGACACATCACCGGTACGGCAACCTTATCGTAATCTTGATGAGGATATCATCGAGCGGTTGTCGCGGGAAGTACGAGATTTGAATGAAGATCCTGTTATCACCCTCATTTCCTCTTCCCTCCCCACACCGCCTGCCCATACACAGCAGCAGCCATCATCGATAGAAAGGAATACGGACTCAGGTCATGCTGCTCAGCCTGCATCGTCGTGCACGCCGAAGAAGGCCGGTAGCACAGTCCCCGTGACACCTGTACTTCCTAGATTCGGATCTGCAGCGTCGCGGGCCAGATTCGCCACAAAGTCGACGCAGACTGTCTCGTACGTCGACCGAGGCTTAGGTCACTCTCTCAAACCGAACGATACACTTTCAGAACTTTCAGATAATAGTCTCTCAGACGATTTCGTCAGCATAGCTGATGAAATTCAGGATGCGAGTTACGATCCCTTTGTCACAACCCCCAGCTCAAGCTCGGGATTAGAACGCAACCATAACGTTGCAGAGCCTGACCTAACCCCTACCATGAACTTGAGGAACGCTCCACTATCCCCATTCCCTTCCATCCCGTATAATTTGAATCCACAGGGCGCTCCTCTTGGCTCTCCGTTTCAAACTCGTATCATCTCAGGAGGTACCCCCGTCTCGTACGGCAATACACCCCAGGACTCTGTGCATGCTGCGGCGCCCTTGTCACAATCAATAGATATCGACCCTACCTCAGCCATGTTGGATAATCGCATCGTTATGTCGGACAAAGCGGCAATCAAGGATGCGCTTGGATATAATAACAGAAACGGAGACAACAGCAGTACCGACGAGCTTGCAAATGTCTCGATCACTAGTCCGCTTTCAACCGAGGTCGATGATCCTTCATGCGCACAGGTTGCGAACTCTGCTCTTGTCAATGATTCTCCGCTCACCCATGAACCTTCTGTAATTCCCATATCCCCGACGTCATCATCGACACCGTCGCCATCGACACCATCGACACCATCTTCATTGACACCATCTTCGTCCTCGATTGCCTCCGATTCCAACGTTACAATGGCTAACGTTAAGACTGGATCACAACAAGCAACATCTGTTATCACTGATAATAAAGACGAATCCTCAGGGTGTGCAGTGCCTCCTATCGACCGCGATTCCATCGAAGATAAGATTCGAAGCCTTACACCCACAAAATTCCTTCCGTTGATCAACCAGCTTCTGCTGGTAAGGTCGAAAGGAATCCTGAATCCATCAAGGTCCGACGTTGCTAATGACTTAGTTCGGGTTGACAAGGATGTATACAAGCGCGCAGGCGCAACGAAATTTGCGGACTATGCTGTGCAAGCGAAAGAAGCTTCTTTAATTGAGTTTGGTGGGGGGACGACTCGAAGCAACTCATGGATAACGTTGCACCCAAGGTTCAGGCGGGAACTTGATGCACCAAAGTCATCAACCCCTTCAACTAGTAATAACCCCCCTACACCACAGAATAATACTTTTTCATCCACGGCTCCGACGCCGCTATCATCCACTGCATCACAGGGGACCACCAAGTCAGCTTCACTGAACCCTAGCCCTCCACCAGTTGTACCGATCCCGCCTTGCTTCCAGCCACTTATCACCAGCCTATCTAAAATTCACAAGAATGGGTTGGCGAAGCCCTTTCCTTCAACAGTGGGCTTAGTGATTGGACCCGAGATATATTCCAAAGCTGGGGCGTCCAGTCTGACAGAATATTTTAGTCAAGCAATGGATGCTGGTGTTGTGCAATGCGGAGGAGATAGTGGACATGCGTGGGTGAGCCTCCATCCTGATGTGCTGAGTGGCAAGCGCTCTTGCTAGTTTGATCTATACTGTCTCCGGGCGTTACGGAGCTTCATCTTCATTATCTGTTGTATAAGTATGTATTATAAATCAAGCGTTTCCGAGAAGGGAGCTATATTCCAAGGAAGTCGACACACAGGTGACATCCTCGTCCTCCTCTAAAGCTTCGACGAGATTTGAGACACTGTCTTTCTCATCGTCGGTGCTTCCTTGCTCTTCCAGTGGGGCCCATCTAACCTCCCTGACGAGTATTTCAGCATTGTCGTTCTGCTGGATGTACTGACGAAGTCCATCTTCTAACTTGAACAACTCGTCGGGAGAACATGCCAGCTAGGACTCGATGAATTCAATTCTTGAAAACAAAATTTGAGGGCGTACCTCTATTCCGCGACTACCACTGGAGTCATCTTCCCATTCATCGAAATCAAATGCACACTGAGTCGACTCTGCTGTGTTAAACAAGTCTTCTATATCGTTTGGGTCGAGAGCAATTTTGAGGTATCCTCGCTGACGGAACATGAACTTGACGGGAGCCTGTCGAGCACTGTAATGGTATTGAAGCAACATGTTGATGAAAAAAAGAAAGGGCTGGACGGACCCATGACGGTTGAGCACTTCCCTCACATTACTGAGAGTGCGGTTGACGTTATCAGTCCTACATTCTCTTCCCGCTGGTTTGGGTACAATGTCATCGAAGAATTTTGGTAGGCACTTACATGATGATGCCCACAGAGCCGTGCATCATGGCTTCATAAGTGACAGCTTGACCATTGTTGTTCTTCCTTTTGAAAGCCTGTAGGACCCAGTGAGCCACGACAGCGGACGGTGAGTGCGTGGAGTACGTGCCTTGAGCAAAGCATTCTCAATGTTCTCTTTCGGGACACCGGCGTCTTTTGCGCGTCGGACGGCAGTAGCTAACATAGAATTCTCTTCAATAATCGGCGACCCGCCATCTAAATGCGGGACATAAGGTACTGAACTGGGTGCGCGTGGAAACATACGTACTCCTGGCAGCGGCAAGAATGTCCTGTTAGCAAACGCGTGTGGCGCGTCCATTAGGAAGACATGCAAAGGAGGAGGCTTACGCTGGCGGCTTTGCCGTACAATATAGATTTCTTGGCGTCTTCTGCACCTTTTCGTTGCTTTATTTTGGACCACTAGTAGGCGCGTTAGGTGCTATGAGCTTCTGAAGGCCAAGAGTTGGAAGTAGATCTTACTTTATTATGACCTGAGTACGGTGTTGAGCTCCTGGAAAATGGTCGTGCATGTGATGCGCGGGGCCAGGCAGACGGTAGCCTCAAGCGGAGCATCCAGCAAACTCAAGTAGTGTACTGGCAGTCCAGTTATGTAACGTTCTAGTTACTGTGCTAGTTTTCGCTTGCCTAATACGTTAACAGTCCCTGAGTACAACAACACTTCAGATGTTGGAATCCAACTTGTCGGAGTGCAGGTCGCAATGGCAACCTTCCTCTGCAATGAAGATCATGAACCATTACAAAATATACAGATTACAATATACATAGGTATACCGGCGTGTGAATGTACATATTCTTATTGTAAATAAGTAGTGTCCCTTCGTGCAGTCGTCCAATCTTGAATCGTTCAACTTAAACCAATCAGATATATTTCGCCGGTGGAGTTTCAGCTCTCTCGTGAAGTTTCTCCACACCAGCCTCCGCGGCGCGGACAGCACTAGTGAGATCGAAATGGAAGAAGGGGGTTTCAACGGGGACAATGGGCACTGTTCCCGAAGTAGGAGGGACAGACTCGCTGTGGGCCTCGATGTCTTCGACGCCTACGCTGGAGGCATCATCCAATAATTTATCACGGCGACCGCCACGGTGGGATACAATAGATGCAGTTTCGTTAGAAGCTCGACTGCTGGGGTACCGATGCCGAAACCTGCGGCTACCAGAGCACGCCGGATCCAGGGTGATAAAATAGTAGCAAAATGGAACTGTAGTATTGCATTACATTAGCTAGGCAGCGTGGTGGGATGACTCCGACTGACCTCTACAGGACGGTCTGCCCATTTCTGGACTTCGTTCCGCGTGTCTACGAGAGCTTGGACAGATGTGGTGTCAATTTGAGATCTGGGAATAAGAAATGAGTTGATTGGTAGAAGGAGACCAAGGTGAGATGTCTTACACTCCAGAGAAGTCTAGCACAATCGCATGAAGAGCAGGTTTTTCATTGTTGGCTGCCTCTGCACTCAGGGAGTTGCCACGAGTTGGTCCGGGATCGTTCCAGGGACGATCGGCCATCTTTATCGTGCTGAAGTCAATCCCACGTCTCATGTTCTCCCTCACATGATCGAACAATGACGGAATTAATGATGGCGCAGTTGGGGTATAGGTAACTTTCTTCGAAGCGGTAAACGATCACACCCGGAGTAGGAGGGTCAACCTTGACATATTGGTTTGTTACGTCATCCTTGCGCAACGGAACGAAGACTTCTCGTGATTCAGTTGAGTTGCGTGTCAGGGTAACCTTCCCAAGGAAATATCCCCTGGGGTGTGCGACGCGAACCAGAAGTAAGGCAAACGATGCCGAGATGGAGGTGTAGATGCCGTTCTCAATAGACGAAAAGATGGTGACCAGGACTGCAGCCAACCAAATAAGAAACTCAAGGGGGGAAACGCGCCAGTAAGAGAATGCTTGGGAAGGTGACGCGACAAGATCAGCGACCGCGTGGATGATAACGGCCGAAAGACCAGCGCTAGGGATCCAGTAAAAGGCTGGGGTAAGGCCATAGAGAGCAACGATGACAACCATCGCAGTGAAAATACCAGCCAGAGGAGTCCGCACACCCGACTTCGACTTCAAGGCAGAGCGGGAGAACGATCCTGTAGCGGGATACGCATGGAATATAGTGCCGAGCGTGTTCGTGACGCCTATGGCGATGAGCTCCTGGTTGGGATTGATCTTGTATCCATTGACCCGTCCAAATGCTGCAAGTAGCGTGTCAAAAGGGCATAACGGTCAGATGATCGGTGACTTACATCTGGCAATGGCGATGTGCTCAAGAAGGAGAATTATGGTGGCGACAGGGATCTGTGGCCCGAGGGCTTTGACGAGCTCGCTATCGATGACAGGGGCTCCCACGTTTTGAAATCCTGCGGGAACAGTTTCCAAGATGGCAATCGGATATTTACCGGAGGCGGTTTTACGGTGTCGGCAGTACAGCCAAGAAGCTAAGGTCAACACTATCACCACAAAAGCATTTCTTGCAACTGAGATGAAAAAGAAAAGTCGGGCTGGAAAAGATGCCATAAGAGTTTCGTCATAGGGAGGACTACATAAATCACAGCTTACCTCGTCTGGGGTACCGTTTGGATAAGTGATCACACATGATGCGAATTGCGTAGAGCGAAAAAAGGCCTGTGAGACCCCAGGCGGCATCTAGTTTCGTACCGGGAAGTCCCTTGAGAGTATTGATGATAACTTCGTACGTGGCAGCTCGAGTACTATGAGATATGTCACAAATTGCGTTTCGTTTGAAATGACTGACACGCTTACCTGAACCCGGTAATGCCCATGAGGGCAGGAACCTGACCTGCAACTATATTTATCGCAGATCCAGTCATATACCCGCTGACTGCTGGTACGGGTATGAACTCGACGATCCAGCCGATGCGCAAGAGGCCAATCCCGAGTACGATAAATCCACAAACAAAGGCCAACGTGGTGGCTATCAGTGGGCCAGCCCATTTACCAGGGTACTGTGCATCTACAGCAATGATGATTTGAGCCACGGTTTGCGACATAACTGCCACTGGTCCGATAGAAACATCTTTCGAAGTCGCAAAGAACTAGGAGTAAATTTAGCGCCGCGATTATCCAAGGTAGCGTGCACGTACGCAATATACAAGGACGCCAACGAAGGATGAATACAGACCGTACTGCGCAGGAAGCGAGGCAAGCTACGAAGGCTTGTCAATCAACGAGAACAAGATTTAAGACATAATATTACTATTGCATATGACATGCCCTGTGGGACTAGCACCATTCCTACGGTAAGACCAGCAATAAGGTCACCAGTAAGCCATCCCAAATCTGAAAACGTATACGATTAGCCTGAGCTTGTCAAAGGGAGAATGAATTGTCTCACTGTATCGGGTGATCCATCCAAAGATTGGAAACAGACTGATCAAGTATTTCACCGCCTAGAATAAGATTCTCCAAATCAAACACTCAGGGTGAAGAAAAGTATAAGGATTTCGTACCCCATGCCTTGGATCTTTCACGATTCCCTTCAAATAGGTTTCAGTGGTGATTGTAGTCACTGTCTGTTCGGGATTTCCAATGATTCTATTGACAACACGCTTTGCTGTTGAAAGCATGGTCGAACTACTAGTGGCTCAGATGGGCCCGGGAATGAGAGGGTCGGGTAGATATTTACTGTGGGTAGCTGGGCGCTGTGTGGACAGATGCAACAGATGTTGTGAAGAATGGCCACCGCGCGAGCAAACCGGAATGACTTGATGACGGGTATCCATTTTATAGATGCGGCATTCCAGATTGATCCGTCAAGTTACGTTCTTTCTGTGAATCATACCACGCCGATGTCGACTGAGCACGCCATTGATGGTCAAATTGACGATAGCTATGACTTTCAAGCTGATTTGCAGGGGGTTCACATCGGTCCACATGTACATGTTATATGCGCTGGGTTATAATTCATCATCTATTCTCAGTCAAGCAGTTGGACTTTGGATATTTACTGACCACGAAGTATTAATGTTTTTCCGCTTCCACGTTCTGGTCCACGATTGTACCAATAGATGGTGCCATCAAATATAATGATCCAGGGGTCAATAGAATGCAGGTGCCTTGGAGCGGGTCAAGTTCGTGACGACTGCGGTCACTGCGCAGCCACGGAAGCCATCTTTCAGTCTGGTAACTGGTTTCAAATTGGCACCAACGACGAGGACTGAGGTCGCGGTAAGTGCACAACATAGCTGCTGCACTAGAGGACTGGTCCAGCCGTCCTTGTCATTTTGAGGCAATAATTTGCTGCAGTTGCAGCGCTGCAGTCAACACTGCAGTGGGGAGCCACGCATATGATAGGCAAATATTGTGACTGATGCTATGATGCTTGGAATGATGCATCGAAATTCTCGAAAAGGGAAATATCCCACGCTCGTCCATCATGCATCATGCCTCCCCGTTAAGTACTGATTCTAACCCCAACATACATCAGTGAACCAGTGAGGAAAGTAGAAGACTACACACCACGATATATAGTACATAATCACAAGGACTAGCATAATTCTGCTATCTATATTATTATTATAAGTGGGACTCAGAGTAAAAATGGAATTTTCGGTAAAGCTCGGTAACTTGACTAGTTTTTTTGGGGTCCTAGTCGGGGTGCCACGTGGTGCTAAACCAAAAGCATGGTCTGACACCATAATTCTCTTTGTGCAGTCCCAAGTTCAACTCCTGCGTCTAGCATTTTAGTATGCCAAAAATGCGACTTTGTTCTGATCTATTTAAGGTGTCACTGGAAGGTTTTTGCTGTACAGAAGGGACCAGGCTGTGGCACTGTAGCACTCTGTAAGGTGTACATCATGGGCATTGTAGTGTACTGATTTGAACTTTGCAGCAGTTGGCAGATGAGAAAGTTTACAAATTATGCCAGGTATTTACAATACTAGAAAGGGCCGAGCTTCGCCAGCAGGAACCTTGTCCCACTGGCTCGAATTTGAATGTGAACGTTGTGTACTATCATGATAGTTATCGACATTCATTGAACATGTGGTATACTAGTTGTACATCATTGGTGGTACACTACATGAAACCATACTAGTACTTTGGAGAGGGATGAGCCAGTGGAGTGATGTTCAAAAAGGTGACGCAAATTGTGTTATCGTAGTATAACATATTAATATATAGAACAAGTGTGGTCTTTAGATGGTTTCTGAGTAAAGGTTGAGATGGATGTGAGAGACGTGCAAATTTGAAAGTTGGACTTACCAGATGTGCGAGCTTGTTTCTATCAACTTATTATATGCTGAGCAATGGACACAGTGCAAGGACAGCAACTTACACTGGCTGAAAGATTTGCAGTGGCTATGAAGCAGACAGGGAAACAAACAAAACAGGATGAATGTGCATCACTACCAAACATGGTTGAGCTGGCAGTGGGCATGAAGGTGATGGTCACCTTTAACATCGAAACTGATCTGGATGTTGCAAATGGGCAAGAGGAGAAGTAGTGGAAATTGTGTTGGACGAGCACAAGTCGAACTTTTCATCGAGAAAATGCTGTTGTAGAGTTGCGCTATCCTCAGCATATGTTCTCATCAAGTTGAACCATACCAAAGCCAAAGCCTGGAGAATCTGGATTCTGGTATTCTGCCATTGGTCCTCATGCAATGGACATTTCGTACTATGATTGGTCGCCATGAAGAAGTTGTGACGCAGATGCAACTGCCATTAGCACCAGCATATGCGTTTATGGACTACCAATCACAAGGTCAAACAATTAATCAGCAACACAATTGTTGATATCGCACAACCACCAAGTGGAGAACTTACACCATTCAATGTGTATGTTGCACTGTCACAAGGTCATGGACGAGAAAACATCTGCCTTCTTTGAGACTTCAATGAAAAGCTTGTCACCACTCATCCTAATGAGTACCTCAGGCTTGAAGATAGGTGTTTATTGGAACTGGACGAAGTGACAGAGAGGTGGTGAGAACAAAGGAGGAAGCTGATTTTGTAAGAAATGCTTTTACTGAACACGAGTGGGGCAATTGGCGATAGTGACAGAATGTAATGGCATAGAGAAATAGGCCCTTGAGAGAAAGCATCTCCTGTAGTGCTGGCTCCATCTAATTATACTTTTCGCCCTCCAGCACATCAAAGAGAGTTACTAGTAAGGTGGGTAGAGCTCAAACACATTTTGCAAAATGAAATCTCATAGCGGCGCTAGGTCGTGCCAGAACCCTGACTCTGCATAAAGACATCAAGGCAAGATATGATTTGGCAGCGTCGAATGTGCAGAAACCAGGTTCCTGAGCGCAGCAGCCATGAATGTGTGTCCATTGATGTTATCACACCCTGGATTGGAGACACTCACTTTCTCAAGCATTGTCACACCAGAATATTGGGACTCGACATCTAACAGAAGCTCCACTGGGTGCTCCTGAAATCCAGCTGTTTCCTCCTCAAAAACTCTCTAGACATCAAGCTCGTTATTTTCAACTACATGATCAGATTATCCAGGCAACACATCATCACTGAGAGAAAGCATTAGATTGTTTGGTTCAAGTAGGATATCAGAATACAGACGATTGTGATGCTTCAACCAGAAGAAATGAATAAATTTTATTCTTCTGCACTCAAAACATGGGTCCCATTTGTTCAGGCTTGAATTTACCAGGACCAATGAAGACAATGCTGGAAAATCCATTGACATCTGCAGAAGTCCGAGGCAACACAGAAGCATGTCAGAAAAAGATAAACGAGCTTTATAATACCGCCGGCTTAGAAGGCTGCTCACGTGCATTATAAGGGACCTTGTAAGTGCCATTTAAGGAATCGAAGTGCCTGGCAAGGCGCGTTATGTATTTAATATGTATTAAAATGCTGCCGCCTTACAAGATCGAACATGTGACCTTATCAGAACATCCCTCTTTGTTGCCACAAGGTCGCGCCATTCTCTTCTCTTCTCTGCACATCCTGTACAAACTGCATTGACCATACTGTTAAATCAATGGCACCAAACTGTTCAAGCAGAAGTAAGTACAATTATACCCAAAAAACACTGACTAGTGGGTCCAAATGCCCCCACTGCGGTGAAATGTTCAAATCCCAGGGCTTCAAGCGGCATGAATCGAAGTGCAAGATGCACGATGCGCAGGATCAAGAGAACTTTAATCGAGAATACGATCGAAACAAACGAACAGGTGAGTCGTTTCCAATTTCATTCTATTAATATCAATCATTATTGACATTGATCATAATGGAACTAGCTCGCCATCAAGCTCGACGAGCCTTGATGGCAGTTGCGGGCCCATCACATTCAATCGAGGTTGACCCTGGACCACCAGCCTCAGGACAAGGTATGTCAATCTGCTCATGTTTGATCGCACTGCTCTGACACTTCCAAAATGATCTTTCAGCTGCACCTATAGGTAGTCCTTCATCGGATGGTCACAATGTTATGGAGTTCGATCCTGGAAATGAGGGTGTTCCCAGCCCAGGTATGTACTTACATCTTCTCGTTCATCGATTGATTAAAAATTGTTTATGCTACAGTCTTATCCGATGCCAGTATGGCCATCACTCCTGAGATGCAAGCGCTTCCTGCAGAGCAAGAACCATGGCGTTGTAGAAACAACAATACTGAGAGGAACAAAGAAATGCTCCTGACTGTATCTAAAAAGTTGTAGGTCGTGCGTTGCCTAGTCTGCGATACTTGAGATGGCAAGTGCATTCGACCCTAAAGGGGAAGCAGGTGCAGCGGAGATCTAGAGGTACGCGCTTCAGCGAAGCGTGAGAAAGCGCAGGTGCGCGCAAGGTACGAAGGCGCGGGAACGCGCGCGCGTATTAGCGCGAAGCGCGGGAAAGCGCGCGCGTGTAAGCGGAAATAAGAGAGACTAAACTTATGTGAAGATATAAGCAAGATAAAGGATGTGAGATGTGTTGTCCTAATGAATAGATTTCTACTGCGACTTTCTAAGTAGTAAGTACTAGGTAAAGTTGGGTGAAAAGTAAGGTAAATAATAGTATGTACTGCTGGCGCTTATATAGCGCGCCTAAGCGCGCTCATGCGGAGCCGAAGCGCTACCGAGTAGGTATGTAAAAATATATATGAGTGAGAAACTATGATAAAAATAAAGGTGGAACTATGCTAATAAAGGAAATGGAAATATACGCACTAGGGAGCTTGGTGGACAGTGGATGGATGCATCTGGATGGCTGGCGCTATAGGGCGTGCAAGCGCGGGAATGCGCGCGCGCGTATACATCGTGAAGCGCGGGAATGGTGCGCGCATGGCGCGCGTTGCGCGGGAAAGCTGCGCGTCATATAGGAATCACTGTGGATGGTACACAGAGTGATGCTGCGAGTTGGTGCTGTATACTCCCTAGTGTAAAGCGCCATATCACACTATGAGATGCACGAGTCTCTACAGCGTCCATTCCAATCACGCACAGATTTCGAGTTCTCTGAAATCGCTCTCGACACTGCTCTCAACAAGAACCAATTGACCGGCTGCTCAACCTCATGGCCCAAATATCACAGGGCCAAGCTAAAATCATGCTGAAAAACGAGTCTGATTTGCACAAGGCATTGGACAATGCTGCGGCTGAGCTGACACCGGTGTGTACCTTCCCTTTTTCTTCAAGATATTCATTTCTAACTATTCAGATTTTTGTATACTAGTTTTCAAAACACGAAGTCAAGGTTCCCTACAAGAAGGAGGAACGAGTCTTCGAGGTACATGCGCGTCCCTTATGGGACTGGGCTCTTGATTTGTTGGATAACCCACTGTTAGCACCGCATTTTGTTTGGGACGCGCAGCGCGTCTACAAGCATGATGGTACGGACTTTGTACACTTCTTTGATGAGCTGTGGACAGGTGACCGGTGGTGGGACATCCAAGTATGTCACTATGTTTGATATTACTCATGTATATGTACAGTAACCATGTTTATGTTATCAGTCTCGCCTCCCACAAAACCTTGATGCCGCCCCCTTCTGTTTCATACTGTATGCTGACAAGACTAGGCTCTCTTCGCATGGCACTGTCAAAGGGTACCCGGTTGTGGCGCGTTGCGCAAATCTACCTGTCCACATTTGAAACGGCGAGGGGATTGGTGGCGGTCGGGTGGTTACCAATCGTGAGTCCCATTCACTTTGTACATACTCTGAAATTGTTTCTGATATAATTACTATAACTACAGGTTCCTGAAGATGCGTCTGAAGAAGGGAAACTCGGATACATTACCATGAAGCGTGTTGTATGGCACGAGTCATTTGTCAAGCTTCTCATCAACCTTGACCAATTCTCGAAGACTGGGTATTCATATTCGTGCTACGACAAGATCTTACGCTGGTTGTTTCCCATCATACTGATTCTTTCTGGAGATTATGAGGAACAGTAAGTTATATATACTACAGAGTCTCACTTTTGTTCTAAATCATGATAAATAGATGCATGATGTCGCTTATACATGGTTTACAATGCAAATGCCCATGTCCAGTCTGTCTCGTCCCTCTTGACGAGCTTCACGACCTGTCGAAAACGTTTCCAATTAGGTCTGCAAAAGATGTGCAGGCTGCACTCAACGTTTACAAACAGAACCGAACTCAAGGTGAGGAAGTTTTGAAAGGGCTGGGATTGCGCCCTGTTGCAGTAAGTGGACTTTTCTTTCATTTCAATTTTACTATCAACTAACATTTGTTCAGAATGTTTTGTGGCTTGTCGAGAATTCCAATCCTCACGAGGCATTGAGCCTGGACGACTTGCACACTCTGCACGGTGGTACAGGAGGGGTACATTTACTTGGAGAGTTGAAGACAATCCTCGCTGATCTTGGACGTCAGGCACAGGACGATTTGGAAACACAGTAAGTCATTTTTTACTGTCATTGACACCACTAAAGCCCTTGCTCCCAGGGTCTCTGAGTTCTCTCGATGGTGTGCTCTCACCCATTTCACTACCGTCATCCATATCACCTTTAGTGATGGCAACAAGAGGCGGGACTTGGTCAAGGTACGCACATATACATTCATGGATGCTGAATTTTCGTGGCTGATTTTTTTTTTTTTTTTTGGTTTCCAATTTTTGTCCATTGAGAGTGAGACTCTATGTAGGACATTACTATCTAGCCTCGGGACCCCATGTCCCGTCCCCATCTCGAATCCCCAGATGCAGTGATGTAGGGCGTGCCCCCATCACTCCGCCGTTCCCGCTGGCCGTTTTTAGGTGGGCAATTCGTCGAAGAAGGGGTGACTGTAAGTAAGCTGGCATGTAGGTAGTACTGGCAGTGGTGTAAAATAACGCATGCTCGGCCGCTTTCGCGGACCTAACAGTGATCAAGTAAGGTGTGCAGAAGGTTAATTGTGAGCGTCCAGAAGGACGAGTGAGACAGGGACCGTGTCTCGAGTCTCCCACAGGGTGGTTGATGTGTGTGGGTTTATCTGGGAAGTCATATTCTCCGATTGACTGAGGCCTCAGGGTTGTGCCATTGATCTCGTGTTGACGAGCGAGAAGGGTTTTAGTTGGTTCTAGGAGCTGTAGCATATATTAGGGTGGAGTAGATTTATACTGAATTAGGGAGAGTAGCGGCGTAGGTGTAGGAGGAGGTGGGGATGGTGTCAACGCGTCAAGCGTTGGGGTTTCACTGGCATGTGTTCATCTGTGTTTGTTGTATCTGCGAGGGGGATATCAGGCTGGATTCGGTTTGGGCATCAAGATTTCACCTAGCGTGGGTTTCAGACGGCGGGTTGCATTTACATAACGGGCGAGATGGGGGATGGCATTCTCATCAGCCAACAGGTAGGGGAGGGAGGTGGCTTTACGACCTAATGCGCACGCCAGAGTATGGCGTTCTCTCTGATACTGCCGACATTCGAACAGGAAGTGGTGGACGGACTCTTCAGTCTCTGGACAGTGAGGGCAATGCGAAGAATCTGCCCTGGCAAGACGAAACAGGTGTTTGTTGAGTGGAATGTGATTGATACGAAGGCCTAGGATAAGCCCCGTCAGGCGTTTGGAATAGGTGGAGGTGAGCTTGAGGAATGAACGCTGTAGGATACGAGGGTCAATGCCGTGGAGATGCTGATGTCTAGGGGATGCGGGCCATAGTCTGGACCATCTTGCGTGCGTTTGTGCCTGATGTGCTTGTTTGAGCGCGGAGATGCTGAGGGGTAGAGTCTTGTGACGAAGATAACGTGGGAGAGTCAAGTTGGGACTGCTACAATGTCTGCCTTCCGCTGCCTTCTTCGCCGCTTTGTCTACCTCCTCATTGCTGTGAACCCCCTCATGGCCCAGCACCCAACGTATCGTGACATCAAAGTCAGGGTTGTTGTGCTTGATTGTCCGCATCATTCGCTGAAACTTGGATGCAATATAAGATCCTGGACTTGAGTGAAATCTCTCACCAGATAGAAGCGCTGCTTGGTTATCGACTGAGATGGAGAGTGGGAAGATGAGGTCTCTTTCCGTTGCAAGGAGTCTGGCTGCCAATGTGAGTCCCACCATCTCGGCCTCGTAGACCGTGTGCTCCTCATCTGTGCCTAGATAGTATTGAAGAGTCCTTGGGCGTGCTCCGGCGCGGAATAGCACCGCCGCTGCGCCTATCCGGCCGTCATGACCCGAGCCATCGCTGAATACTTGAATCTTGTCTGTGAGTGTGTGATGCTCTTGCGCTGCTTCTTCACGGCTGATTCTGATGTGCGTCTTGTAGGGACATTTGGTGGTGGGGGCACGTCTGGCAGGAGTAAGCGCTTCGATGTCGTCAGGTTGGATCTGGAGAAAGTGGGTCAGCCGGTGGAGGGATGATACAAAGTGCTTTGCTGCGCGTCTGATTGGGACATATAACGGGTGAGTGTCTGGATGAGCGGCTAGGCGGATTGTTGCACGCTGGCAAGCATTCTGTAGGAGCAGGGTCATGGGGAGAAGATTAGCATGGACTTCTAGTACATCAGTGGCCGTGCTTCGCATAGCGCCCGTCATTGCAATTGCAGCGATACGTTGAATGGATGTGAGTTTCCGGGCAACTCCTATAGACCCTTGTTGGAGGGTGTGCGAGCCTTCACGAAAGGCCGGTGCAAACCATAAGTCCGCCGCATAAAGCATTTTTGGGATCGCTGTGGCCTGGTATAATTGTCTCATCAGGCGGAGGGGTATGCCCTTCGACATGGTGGACAAACGGCGGAGTTGCAGGACGTAGGCCAAGCCTTTTGCGAGAGCATGGTCAACCTGTGCCTTCCATCGGAGCTCCTGGTCAAGGATGACTCCGAGGAAGCGATGTGTTGGCACCGGGCGAATGATAGCACCTTGTATATTCATAGCTGGTCTGGCACGTTTCCTGTTCATAGAGAAGTCAATTAAAGCAAATTTGTTAGTTTCGAAACGTGAGTTGTGGTCACGGGACCAATGAAAAGCCCCCCCAGGCCGTTCCAACATGTCGTTGAGGATGCGATGCGTATCGACAAAGTCCTTACCAATGGCCACAAGGGCTGTGTCATCCACGAAGGCTAAGGTTAGTTCTGCGATAGACTCACGTCCCCTGCGGGGTTTAGCGATGTCGACCAGGTCCGCGCTATAAATAATATATAATATCATAGAAAGAGGATCACCTTGCCCGATACCATTGTCGATGGTGATCCAATCCGACGTAAAGCCGTCGAAGTGCAGCTGCGTCTTGCAGCCGGTGAGGACTTGCTCCGTGAATTTGATGAGCTCCAGGGGAAGACGTCGCATTCGCATATTGTGCAGGAGATGCTTGGTGACTGCGTTCGGGAAGGCTCCCTCGATATCCAGGAAGAGAATGGAGGCGACCTTGTGAGATCGCCACGCATTCTTGATGGTATCTTTGAGCAGATGTAGCGAGTCAGTGGTGGAGCGGCCTGGTCGTCCGCCGAAGTGTGTATTAGGTAGGAGCTGGTGGTGTTCTAATAAGTAGGTCAGTTGATCCGCGACAACGGCTGTGAGTAATTTGCAGGTGGTGTTGAGGAGGGCGATGGGTCGGTAGGCCTTCGGGACAGTGTAGTTAGGCTTGCCGGGCTTCCGTAGTACCACCGTGGTGAACTTCTTCCAGGGGTCGTAGTAGGTGCGGTGCGTGAAGACGGCATTGAAGAGCGATACCAGGTAGGGGGTTAGGACAGCAGCGCACTCCTTAAAGACGATATTCCATATACCGTCGGGGCCTGGGGCCTTATATCCGCTAAGTTTAGTTATGGCGCGTTTGATTTGATCCGAGGTGATGGGCATATGGGGAGCGATAGGATCTGGATAAATCTGGTCAGCGGGAACTGAGTTTATATTGGGAGGGGGGGGAAAAAAGGCTTCAGCTATCAGTGTGCTCTTCTCGGTGTTAGTGGTTGCCTCGATTATGCTGCCGTCAGGTTTCTTCAGTGCCAGGGTCGGGATGCGAGCCTTGCCACCATCGCTAGGGTCGGAGGAGATATAATGGTTGGCCGTCCAGAGATCATTACCCTCGATATCTTCCAGCCAGTCGAGCCAGTGCTGCTTTTTTGTCGACGCGATCTCGTCGGCATATTGGTTCTTAATTGACTTGTACTCTTCATGACAGGGGTGAAGTGGGAGACCGCGCATGTGGTGGGACTGCCGGCTGAGCCGGCTGACGCGCTTGCGCATGTCGGTCAATGTGCGAGTCCACCATCATTTGGAGTGGGGACATGGTTTGGATTGAGGTACGAGTAGCTTTGCAGTTGATGTGATGGCCTGCGTAATGTGTCGGGCCATCTGCTGGAATTCATCAGCGGATGCGAGAGGTAGTGGAGGGAGGGGATCTAGGGCAGTGCTAAGGGTTTTGTTGAATTTGGTCCAATCGACATCGCGCCAGTTCAGGCGTGGAGTACTGGTCGTGCGTGGGACTTCCAAGTTGAGTGCTAGAAGGATGGGTAAGTGGTCAGTTTTCGGTCCGTGTAGATAGGGTTCAGTGGTGCATGATACAACGGCGTCGAGTAGCCCCTCCGTACCGAATACATTATCAGGGCGGGTCCAGTTTCCAGTGGCTGTAGATTGCAAGGTGGGGATGTTGCCGGGAAGGAGCTGCAACATACCATAGTCAGCGATCAAGTCAATGAGTGGACGTACGAGGGGGTAATTGAAAAGATGCCGATTGCGTATCTCTTCCCACATAGGGTGATGGCGGTTGAAATCCCCTAGCCAGAGCATGTGATCATTTGCGGTGGGATGGAGCGTAACAATGTTCTGAGCGAGGAAGGTGTCTAAAGCCGTTAGAGTGTCCTGGTGAGTGCAGTCGTTGTAGATGTTGATGATGGTGCAGATGCCGAAGTTGCTGCAGATTTGAATGATGACCACGTCGGAGGAGGGGAAGGGAACTTGCTTCCAGGTGTTTGTGTCGAGTGAGGTATTAACAAAGGTGATGGCGCGTGAGCGTTTCTGAGGGTGTGAGTAATGATAAGTGGGATATATGACGTGCCAGTCACAACTGGCACGAGTATTACGAAGGAAATTTATATGTGGCTCCTGGATAGCCAGGACATCTTGCTTGGTGATTTCCGGGCTATTCATCATGGATTCTTGGGCAGCTAACGAGGCGTTAAGGTTCTGTTGCCAGATCTGAAGGCTAACATTAGTAGGTTCCGGTCGTTCAGACATTAAGGGGGGTTAGTGGGGGGGTCGTGCTAGGAGTCGAGTAGTTTGAGGCAATGGAGGCAGGAGAGGTAGGTGTGGGGGTTGAGAGGGTTGAGTTTGGAGTCTGTGCCAGGATTGGGGTGGTTGGGGTCGAGTCAGAAGGGGGAGAAGATGCAGAGGCAGATGCAGCCGGTGTATTGGGTGCCGATGGAGTCAGTGGTGTTACAATCATCGAAGGAGATGTCACCGGGGCAGGAGAAAGTTGGGCTATCGGTTGAAAGTGCAAGGTGGTCTGTTTGGGGGGAACAATGTGCGAGCGTGTAGTTGGGTTGGCCAGGAGGGAGGGAGGTGGGAGTGAGCGGGATGGTGTGAGTGGAGCTGGGGCTGGAGTCTTGGGTTTGGCGGGGCGTGTTACATGAGTCCAGGTAGATGTAGTAGGGAAGAAGGGTAGTTTATTCTCTGGATGCATGTCATCCAAGGTTTGGCAACGACGAACGAACTCTGGGCATTTACGGCTCCAGCTAGAGTGGGTTTGGCTTCTGCAGTTAGCGCAGCATTCAGTTCGGAAGGCATTGCATCGAGAGGTCCAGTGTCGGCCACCACAGGTACCGCATACATCATGTGGGGCGGAGCAGTTACGTGCCATGTGTCCAAACTTTTGACATTTGGCGCAGCGAAGAGGCTCCTTCTTGTCCTTGTGGACCATGTACCGGTGGGCATTGATGCAGATGCCCTCTTTGAGAAGGTCATTAGCCATAGCAGCATCCTTTACCTGCATTATAGCAAACACGAAGCGTTGTTCTGGCAAACGACGTTGAGGGGGTTTAATCCAACGGATGGACGCAATGGAGTTGGGAGGAAGGTGATTGTCCCTTTCGATGAGGCGCGGGAAGTCCTCACGGGTGACGTCAAGGGCGATGGGAAGGTATTGCGCAACAATTGCGTAGGTTCGGTCGCGGATGTAGGCTGTGGAGTTAAGGTGAGATTCCAAAGCCAGTCGTCCAACTGGGCTCCTCAGCCAATTTGCTAGGTTCTCGCTGTCCAACTCAACGATCAAGCCCCCGTTGTGGAGACGCTGGATGGCTCTGACCTCCCCAGGGGGGGTATCTTCGGTCTCGGTCTTGGCAAGGATATCCGAGATTTTCTTGGCGATGGAGGCATTGGTAGCATCTGGAGCGAAGAGCGAGTTGCCTGGTGTAGGATCCAGGAGAATTTGTTTTGCACGAATGGAGGCTCTCACGACAGCTTTCTCCATTGCTGGGGGGATGGATGAGGCAGCAATTGAGCTGTAGGTAGGGCGAGATGGGACAGACGCGTTCGGCAATGTTGACTGTACTTGAGGCTGCTGTGAGAGCTGGGTCGATAGGGTGTTAAGTCGATCTTGAGTGAATTCGAGGGAGGGCATGAGGAGTTTGTACGAGTTATTGCAATCTTCGATAGATTCATATAGCGTATCCACTGCTTCTTCAAATCTTTCTGCTGCGACTTTAAGCTCACCCTCCTGCTCATCTCTTTCCCAGCTAATTGAGTTTTGAAGTGTCGTCGATTGGACTAGCATGTCCCGTAGGGTTTCGGAGGTGGTGAGGATGGAGGCGACTTGCGGGGCGATGGCTGCAATGATGCTGTTCACTATTTTGGGGGTTAATGATTCTGTGATTTGTTGTGCGACAGTTTTGGCAAGTTCAGAGGCCGCCTGTTGCTTCAGGATGAAGGCTACCGCACGGATAGCGTTGATGACAGGGCGTGGTGTGGTCTTGACCATTTGCGTGATTTGGAAGAGGATACCAACCAGGTGTGGTAAAGTGAGAGGTTCGTCGGCTTGGCGTAGCAAAGCGCTGGCTAGGTATTGCTCAGCCGAATCATAATCTTTCACGGCACTCGTGATAGCTTCAATGTCTTCCTGAGGTAGGGGGGTTTTTGCGGTGTTGGAACTACGAGTGGCTGGTGGGCCTGGGCCGTTTAGACCCTTCTTTTCAGGCGCCTTTCCTGACGCCATGATCTGTGAAAGTTAGTATCTAGGTTATGTTTTTTGAGGTTTTTAATTGGTTTTTGATTAAAGTCGGGTACTTGGGTATCGCCGTTGGGCGACGTTGGCGCCGTTGAGCGCAGTGACCTGGTGTGGTGTCCGGGGTCCTGATTCGGGGTGCCACTTAGTGTGGGACTAAGAGGTGATTTCGTGGCTGATTATCGCAAAGCAAGCATTTTATGCGGCACTCAGTGTTTTAAAGTGCCAAGTCAGTTCAGAAGGCTACCGCCTTCTTCATGTCATTCGCAGTTACCTGCAATTGGATAGTTTGATCAGGCTCGATGTCCATACAGAATGGACACTTGAAATGATAGACTCTGAATTCCTCGTCTATGATGCTGCACTCAAGGTATTTTGTCTTTCTTTTCATTGAATTGTCATTGGTACTACTGACACTATCTACTAGGACTATGTTGAATATGCCACAATGAAATCCTCCATTGAGGACATCAAGACGGACTGGAACTTTCCCAAGACACACCTTTGGAAACACGCACAACGGGACATTGAATCAAAAGGTGTGGCACGTAACTATAGCACACGCCCAAATGAGAAGCTCCATGGCCCGCTGAAAGCGGCCTATCTTAATCAATCCAATGGAAAGGACGTTGCTAAGCAGGTATGTGCATTGATTTTTCATGTTATTTTTTTGCTAACAGCAGCTTGTATATACTTGTAGATCCTTCGCGTTGATCATCACAAATGTGCAGCCCTGCTTTTGCGAGGACGTGTTGATACCCTCGACGAACAGCACCGCCTGCAAGCCTTAGGCGGTGACGACGATGCACTCAGCGATGAGGACCATGTTGATCACACCAATCATAATGGACATTTCAAGCTCGGCTCCCCTCAAAGTTGTGCCATTACCATTCAGGACATCGAGAACAGGCGCGGTGCTCAGGACACAGCGTTTCAAGGCTTTTGCAGGAAGTTTTCTAATTTTGTCAACATATCATTGCCTACGTATGGATTCCACTTGACGAGATGGATTACTATTCCGGTTGATTTCCAGGTATACTACTCTTTGATTATCTTTCATTGTTTCACGCTGCTAACTGCCATATGACTTAGATTCATGAATACCGCTACCTCAGGCTCAATTATGAGAGTACCGTCAACTGGAAACAGTCAACAGACCACCTCCAGTCCAATCCCTCTTTTCATGGGTCTCCGCGCTTTGATTGTGCACTCATAAAGCTTACTGTTATGAACTAGGATAGTTCTAACAGCAAGGGCTCGACAGAGCGTTCGTGTTGCTGAGATTTGTAAAGCCCTTCAAATAAGAAGAGGTTCGTAGACTTAGTTAAAGGAGTGCTTTAACTAAGAGATCGGTTCTGACGACTTAAGATTGGTGGTCTTAAGTGAAGGAAGTTCTGGATAAAACCTAGTAAGATTGAAGTGACGTTTCTAGGTAAAGTACACGTGCTTAAATAGGACACTATATACGCACGGACCAAGGCTAAGGTGGGATAATAGTACACAGATCGAATATGGAAGTCAGATCAAAAAGGGGAATTCAAGAGCGAAGAAAAGGTGATGCATAATAGTGAATCGTTGAGTAAGGAGTAAAGTGATTGTAACATTACCCCCTTACTAAGGTTGAAGCTACCAGATTCAATCATCCTGGTTAGTGTAGTAGATAGGGTCGTCAGAATACTCAAAATCGTCCGACCCGCCTTTCATGCGTTCTTCCAGATAGAGCGCTTCTTCCTCCCTGCATTGGGTGGCATATGCTTCGTCTCTGTCGTTCTCCCAGAGTGTGAGGGTATGATAGAATCCTTCATCCTTCCAGGTTAATGAGGTAGGAGCTTCTCCGATGTAATGTGGGCAATAAAACGAGAGATGACCGGGGGATAGTTCTCGACAAACACGGCAATAATATTCGGGACAATGAACTTGCCTATGTCCGAGCGTTTTGCAGTATCTGCAGACACGATTCTCATCTGGGTTCGAGGTGGTTGCCCGTAGAGGAGATGGGCCCGGCTTAGGGCTGAGCGCTTCATCAGCACTAGTAGCACGTTTCTTTCCTTTATCGTTACGGGCATGCTGGCTCCGTATTCTTCTCCTAGAGGGGGTGGTTCGGCGTATTGGGTGTCCACGAGGGACATCTTGTTGTTCCGCCTCCGCGATTAGCTCAGCAGGAGTGGCAGGTTGGGTTTGTCCTAACGCTAGTATGGGTACAATCCCATCTGTGAATGTGTGCGATGATAACGAGTCAGGAATGACAAGCGGGGGATGGATATGGAGCGCGGATAGTGCATGGGCTAGATCTTGTACTTCATAGTGGGAGAGGTACTGGTTGTTAGGGTTTTCAGCAATTTCGTCGCGGGTGGCGGAAAACGCTGAGTAAAGATGAGGAGGATGTTCGATAGTTTCTATGGCGGGAGCGGGAACGGGGATTGGTTGGGGGTTCTCTTCTCTGAGGGAAGTCATTATTGCTTCAGTCGTCTGTGCGAGATTATTGACCGCAGCCAGTAACTCATTAGGAATACCAGAGGACAAAGTAGGTACGGCGTCTTGATAAGAGGGAGGAGCGACTCCATCTGTGGTTGTGGGGTTCGTAGGAGAAGGTGGGCGAGCAACCCCTGCGGTTTGTTCTGCGACGATGTGGATGACTGTTCTAATATCATCTTTAACTTCCTCAGGAATAAGGCGCAAAGCAAAGTTGCGTATGCACCTCTGCATATGCATGAGACTGTGGCGAACCGTGTTGTCTTCGACGAGGCGACAGACTCACTCGATGATCTCAGTGGCTCGGATGATGTTAATAAGGAGGTTGATGGAATGGGCGTTTCTTTCAAAGAGAACTCTGGTGAGCTTGATGGCATGCTGGGGGCAGAGGAGTGCAGCCTCAATGAGGGTGAGGTCTTCGGCTTGGGTGATGAAGGTTTCGTATCGTTCGTCATTGGAATCAAGGGGGGTGGCATCGAAGGTGGATTGGTATGGGAGCGTGTAGGTGGATGTGGGGAAGGGCATTCTGTTTGTAGGTTTTGTATCTGGGTAAGAATGATGTCGTTGAGGTACTGAGTAATCTCAAAGCGCGTTTCTGGTTTTATAGGATTTGAGCGTTTCCTCGGCATTCTCCAGATTCTTTTCGGGAATCCACTCGTTACTGGCAGAAGAATATCCTTTCCAAGATACTAGATATCGCCGACGATTCCAGGCTCCTTTATGCGCAAGAATGGCTTCTATTTCATATTCTTCTTCTTCTTCTAGAACATCAGGTGGTGGTTCTAGGAAGTTCGGGCCGTTGAAGGTACAACAATTCAGATGGTGAGTCTGAACAATGTGTTGGGTCTTGCAGAACCTAGCTGCTATTCGACCCTAAAGGGTTTCTGAACCAGGCTCAAGGCTCAGAGTAGAGGAAATATCATAAAAACTACTGAGGACTCTGACTCATACTGGTAACTGGTGAAAAGATTGCTTGATTATGTAAGCTACAAAAGTGCCAACATAAGGTAAGGTAAAAACAGTCTCTACAAGCCCAACCAGAAATGAATCCCTACACCGTGCACATTATTTTCGCGATAGGAGGATAATTGCGAAGCATGGAACGTGGGGTGGATTTTCCATTGCGGTGGTAGTTGGAGTGTGAAGGTGATGGGAGATAACACGGCCTTGATAGCAAACGGGCCGTACCTCTTGGGTGCCAGTTTTCGGGATGGGAGTTTTAGTCTGAGATTGGCGGCTGATAGCCATACCTTATCTCCAACTTTCCATGGTTGATATTTCTGTCCAAAGGATCTTTCCGCCATGCGTTGCATAGCGATATTATGACAGGAGGTGGCTTCTTCTCTTATTTTTTGAAGAATTCTGACTCGTTCTTCAGCAGCGGGGACGTCTGATTCAGGAAGTAAGTGTGGGAGAGCTTTTGGCTCATATCCCATCATGATGAAGAAGGGAGACGTGTTTTTTGCAGAGTGTCTTCTGTGGTTATGGACAAATTCTGCCATGGGGAGATGCTCTACCCATTCAGAGGGATTGTTCTGACAATACATCTGAAGGTATGTTTCAAGTTCTTGGTTCAGTCGTTCGGTTTGTCCGTCAGTCTGTGGATGATAGGCGGTAGGGGGGGCTAGTGAGTAATTGAGGAGTCGCGCGAGTTCAATTGAGAATTTTGATAAGAACTGGGGTCCGCGATCGGAGATTACTTTATCATGGAGACCAAATCTCTTGAAAATGTGTTTTAGAAAGAGTTTCGCTATTCCTTCTGAGGTAATTGTTTTATGACAAGGAGTAATGATCACCCCCTTAGTAAGCCCATGGTCTACCATGACCATGATACTGTCGAAGCCGGAGGAAACAGGGAGATCAGTAATGAGATCGACGGATATCTGCGAAAAGGGGCGAGTAGCTGCGGTGCTGATAGGGTGCAGGGGAGGAGTTACAGGGTGGGTGTCCACCTTCATCTGCTGGCAAGTGGCGCAACCGTCAATGTAATTCCGGATATAGGTGCCCATGCTTGGCCACCAAGCTTCCCGTTTGACAAGTTCTTCGGTTTTGAAACGCCCGGGGTGCCCGGCCGAAGGGTGGTCGTGATGCTTTTTCAGCAAATGCAGCCGTTGGGCGGGAGGGATATAAGCTCTGTTTTTGTAAAACAGAACATTATCGGTGATATGCCAGTCGCTAAGAGACAATTTCATAGGTGGTAGGCATAGGCCATTGAGAGCGTCTTGAGCGGTAGAGAAAAGGGGATCGTCAAGAGGTGCAGTGGAGGCAATAGCTGCATGTAATTCATTGTCGATTAGGCGGATAAACATGGAATCAGGGAGGAGGACGGCATCGGTATTATCTTCAGAGCCATCGCCATGATCCGGTCGGCGGGAGAGGGCATCCGGGACCGCTAATTTCGAACCAGGAACGTGGTATAATTTTAAGTCGAAGGAAGTGAGAAGCAGTTGCCATCAGGCCTGCCTCCGTGATAGGTGTTCTGCTTTCGTAAAATAGAGGAGGTTCATATGGTCCGTGAATACAATGACCGGTTGTGGATGACCTTCAAGGTAGTGTCGCCAGTGGGTGAGGGCGCGGATGATAGCTAGCAGCTCGCGATCATGAATAGGGTAGTTTCTCTCGGCAGGGCTGAATGATTGCGACAGGTAAGCACACGGGTGATAAACGCCGTTGGTGTCCGTTTGCAGTAGTACCCCTCCTGATGCTACAAGAGAAGCATCAGTAGCTATGGCGAATTGATGGCAGGGGTCAGGGTTCTGAAGAACAGGATGCGAACTGAAACATTCTTTCAGTTTTTCGAACGTTTGCTGACACAGGGGCGTCCAAGAGAACAGGACATCCTTTTTTGTCAAGTCGATAAGGGGTCGAGCTATATCCGAGTAATGGGAGACAAAGGTTCGATAGAAGTTGCAGAAACCTAAAAAGGACCGAACATCTTTAACCGTTTTAGGGATAGGCCAGTCTTTGATGCCAGCCGTTTTTCCTTTATCCATCTCCACACTTCCTGGTTTGATGATCATTCCAAGGTATTCCACTTCATCCGCATCGAACGTGCATTTTTCCGGTTTGACAAATAGCTTTTCTTTCCGGAGCTTGTCTAGAACAATGCGAGTTCGTCGTTGGTGTTCAGCAACTGTTTCTGAGAAGATGAGCATGTCGTCCATATAAATGACAAGCCATCCTTCGTTGAGTTCCATTCTGAACGTGTCGTTCATATATGCTTGGAAAGTAGTGGGAGAATTGCATAAGCCAAAGAACATGACTGTGGGTTCAAAGAGTCCTTCTTCCGTAATGAACACGGCTTTCCACCTGTCATCTGGGTGAATCCGAATGTTGTTATATCCGGATCGGATATTGATTTTGGTGAATATTTTTGCACCGTGCAATCGCTCAACTAACGATGATGGAAGTGGCAGGGGGTATGCGTTTTTGACAGTCTGGTCGTTTAGGAAGCGGTAGTCTTGGCATGGTCTGAGTTCTCCGCTTTTCTTTCCTACGAAAAAGAATCCGCTTGCTTGAGGGGATTTAGATTTTGTGATGAACCCTTTGGTAAGGTTTTCTTCAATAAATCTTTTTACTGTGAGTCGTTCATTGAAGGATAGGGGATAGATTTTAGACGTCTTGGGGATAAATCCGGTTTTAGTTTCGATTCGATGGTCGATACCAGGTCTTTCGGGGGGTAGTTCCTTTAAGCCGTCTTTTGCAAATACGTCTGAGAAGTTGTGGAGGTATTCCGGTACCAGTTCTTCAAAGGTTTTCTTCTTCTTTTCCTTTTCTTCTGAGGCGAACTCCTGTGCCTTGTTACTAAACTTAGAAGTCTCCTCGATTTGTCGGAGGTATTCCCCACCGTCAGTAAGTTCGGTTAAAGACGATGGTGACATACTCCAAACATCTTCTTTTGTGTCGAACTTCTTTGTGAAGAAAGTTTTCTGCGGTCTGGAGGTTTGCTTGACGTATCTCTCTATCTCGGTAGATTTTTCGGTTGCAGGGAGGGATATTGTTTGTTTGGTCCAGTCTACGGCGGGGTTCATGGCTCGAAGCCAGGGGATCCCTAAAAGGATTTGGTCCTTTTTTCTTAATTTGGTAATGTTGAATTTTCCTATCATCATCCTTTGGTCGATTTGGACAATCAGTGTGCAATATCGTTCTACCGGTCCGCTACTGAAGTAGCTTCCATCGGCTGTTTTGATGTAAAAGGGGTTTTCGAGTTTCTTGGTTCCGATATTATGCTTCTTTATGAAGTCCTCGGAGATATAGGTTCCGGAGGCTCCAGAGTCAATTACTGCGGTTGTTTCGACGTTTTTCTGACGCGTTCGAGATATGAGAGTTATGGGGACACGAAGTTCTTTTTTTTCACCAACTGCTCGTATTAGGCGTACAGGTTCTTCTGGAGGCGCTATTGTCGATATAGGTCTCCTGTTTAAAAATCCTCATCAATCCTTCTAGCTTCTTCTTCCTCTACCTTCCTCACTGCTGGGTAGGGAGCTTTCTTCTTCTGTGGGCATTCCCGTGCCCGATGTCCGGTCTGGTGACAGTTAAAGCACTTTCCTGTCCTCATGTATTCTTGTTTAGTTTCATCGGTAAGCTGATCAATAACCATAGCGTCCCTGTCCCTAGTAGGGATGAATCTTTGGTCTCCGTGACTGTTCTTTTTCTGGATTTGTCGTGGTGAGAATCTGTTTCTGCGAGCTTGCAGTCTCGCATAGCAGTTGTCCAGATCGACTACCGCAGTGATGTAGTCATCTAGGTTCTTGGGTACCCCTCCTGCGTTGAACATCTTGGTTACGAGTCCTCCATTGAGACCGTTTTCGAAGTGATAGATTTTCATATGCTCTTCTTTGATTTTTGCTTGGGCAAGCAATCTTTGGAAGTCTGCAATATATGTTTGCAGGCCTTCTGGGCCTTGTCTCAGCTCCAGGAGTCGTGCGAGCGCAGTCCCAGCTGGATCAATTGGTCCGAAGGCTTTTTCAAAGCTTTCGTTAAATTCTTTCAGGGTTCCATAGCCCTTCTTCTGCCCAGTTGAGTCAATGAATTGGGCGTCGGCGAGAAATTCCTCTTTCCATGACCTAGCATTTCCTTCATTCATGAACGAGGAGATGAAGATCACTTTCTGAGTGTCGGTTTTGTAGATTTCCGAGTTGATATCGATATAAGCATTGCATGAGAGCATGAATGACTTGGATTTGTCTCTGTCGCCATCGAATGTGGGAGGATGGTTGATCTTGAATTCTGTTGCTTTAGATGAGGCCGACATGTTCAACGGTGGTACAGGGGTACCTAGGTTCAAGGCTTGGAAGGTAGGGGTGAGTGAAGTCAGATTGTCGCCTTTTATTTGCCTGCACTAGCTATCTTGCTCAGTCAGGATCTTTTCGTTCTGGTTTTCGGGTTTCTGTGACACGTATGGGTATAGGTGTCTTTCATGGACTTCAATCTTTTGTTACGAACTAGGATAGTTCTAACAGCAAGGGCTCGACAGAGCGTTCGTGTTGCTGAGATTTGTAAAGCCCTTCAAATAAGAAGAGGTTCGTAGACTTAGTTAAAGGAGTGCTTTAACTAAGAGATCGGTTCTGACGACTTAAGATTGGTGGTCTTAAGTGAAGGAAGTTCTGGATAAAACCTAGTAAGATTGAAGTGACGTTTCTAGGTAAAGTACACGTGCTTAAATAGGACACTATATATGCACGGACCAAGGCTAAGGTGGGATAATAGTACACAGATCGAATATGGAAGTCAGATCAAAAAGGGGAATTCAAGAGCGAAGAAAAGGTGATGCATAATAGTGAATCGTTGAGTAAGGAGTAAAGTGATTGTAACACTTACTGCGGAAAAAAATGTCTTTGTTAAGATCATACTAATGTTTCAATGTAATGTTCCAGATGTTGCTGGCACCTTCCAACTTGCACTCGTTCAACCATACACTGCTGGCATTCCCGTCGGTGGCGCTCGCAGAATCAACAAAGATTTAAGGCTCAATCGAGTCAAAGCTGTTCCTCGAGGAGATTCGATATTCGTACCTTTGAAGTCCTTTATCTGAGGAGTGGTTTTGGCCCGTGATCCAGAGCACCGAGACGAGTTTTTGGTTGTTGAGCATATTGATAGTGACATGTTCCTGCACATGAAGGCATGGGCATGCCAATGATTCCTTCATGTGAGTTATGCTCGCTGTGTGTTTTGGCTCAAATTCTGACAATGTTCTCATTCACAGACCATCTAGCCAAAGTTTTACTACCCCTACCCAACCTACACACTCCCACAAGTAATAGGTCGGAGAGGAACCTCATTAACGCACCACACCTCCTCAGCTTCTTTTTGAACTTTGTCCTGCGGAACAGCATTCTTCCAGAAGTCTCACATGAACACGACATCCGCAATGCCCTCGATATTGTGGAGCTCGCAAAGAAGGAGCTGCCCTTAGTCTTGCCATGGAGAAACCTCGTTAACGCACCACACCTCCTCAGCTTCTTTTGAACTTTGTCCTGTGGAACCACGTTCTCCCAAAAGCTTCACATGAACACGGCATCTGCAATGCCCTCGATATTGTGGAGCTCACGAAGAAGGAGCTGCCCTTGCCATAGAGGAACCTCGTTAACGCACCACACCTCCTCAGCTTCTTTTTGAACTTTGTCCTGCGGAACCGCGTTCTCCCAAAAGTCTCACATGAACGCGGCATCCGCAATGCCCTTGATATTGTGGAGCTCGCGAAGAAGGAGCTGCCCTTGACATACAAGATTGGGCGGGCATTACCCGATGTGCTCAGCACTCTCAAAGAACATGGGCGACAAACTCGACAAGGAGAAGGGCCAGTGTAGAGACTCATGCCTCTCATGGTGTGATATGGCAGTTTCCACTAAGGGAGTATACAGCACCAACTCGCAGCACCACTCTGTGTACTGTCCACAGCAATTCCTATATGAGGTGCAGCTTTCCCGCGCAACGCGCGCCATGCACGCACCATTCCCGCGCTTCGCGATGTATACGCGCGCGCACGTTCCCGCGCTTGCGCGCCCTATAGCGCCAGCCATCCAGATGCATCCATCCACTGTCCACCAAGCTCCCTAGTGCGTATATTTCCATTTCCTTTATTAGCATAGTGTTCCACCTTTATTTTATCATGGACTCTCACCCATATATATCCTTACATACCTACTCGGTAGCGCTTCGGCTCCGCATGACCACGCTTAGGCGTGCTATATAAGCGCCAGCAGTACTTACTTTTCACTTACTTTCCCTTTAACTTACTAGTTACCACCCACTATTTACTTAGCAGAACATACACTTGAGTCTAACTTCTCTATTATTTCTGCATACACGCACACACTTTCCCGCGCTTCGCGCAATACGCGCGTGTGTTCCCGCGCCTTCATGCCTTGCGCGCACCTGCGCTTTCTCGCGCTTTGCTTCAGTGCGTACCTCTAGATCTTCGCTGCACTCGCTTCCCCTTTAGGGTTGAACACACTTGTCTCCTCAGGTAACGCAGACTAGGCAACGCGCGACCTTACAACATTCTTTAGATACAGTTAGGAGCTTCATTTGTTCCTCTCTGTATTGTTGTTTCTACACTGGTATGTTTCCTTTCACTCCTCTACAGCATCTTCATTGACTACTTTACTTAGCGAGTCTATCAAAGCACCTGACTTTAAATGAAATGCTTTCACTGACCTCATTCGTCAATGAGCCGTCAAACACAAACGTTCCCAGGAGGCCTCCCAAAACACCCGGCCCAGCACGCTCCTTCCCCACAACCTCCTCTTGATCTTACACCTTCTCTGGTGAAGGCTCCACCCCCACCAAACCTGACCTCAGGCCTAGTGCCGAGTTCAGAGAGGGCTGCAGATGCAGGAGAGGTGACGGTTCCTCTGGCACTAACCATGCCTCTTTAGATGCTCTATCCACCCACGAAGAACTTGACATTCTCAAAGTCGAGCATTCCCATACTTTCTCCTCCCAAACTTGTGCCCTTCAAGATCTCCAAACCCAAGAAAAAGACCTGCACTCACAGTTTGAAGTCGCAGTATGGGAAAAGGCAGAGAGTGACATCATGTTGTGCATGAGTTAAGAGCGCACAGGGTTGTTGATGGATGAAGTGCTGAGAAGGGCTGTTCCTGCTTACTGGACTCGCTGCACTTGAACTAAACATGTTAGTCCTACTGCAACTTAGATTTCGTCGTGTCGTGCATTAAAAAATTGTTCTATTGAAGAGTGTTGTGGCATCAAGTAAAGCAATGGGCTATGATAAGGCGTGAATTGATCTTCTGAATTATGCTAAGTCCTTCGGCAATCTCCATTGGCTTATTAGTCAGCTACTGACCTCTTGCAAGACTGTTCATAGCGTTACAATTATGACAGCAGCATCGCAACGGTTTTCATCTCATTATCGAGCCCCCCAAGAGTCCCAAGGTCACAAGAAACGCTCACATCTTGTGACTTCTTGTGATAATAACTGGTACTGCTTGCTCAATTCTCCATCAAGTATTAATTTATACTTACTAATATCACCCATTAGCTGCCTTCAAAAATCAAGTGTCTGCAGTCTGAATCGTCACCCTGAGACACAGTGCGCTACCGGACATCGTCGCGTGTGGTCCACACAATGTTGCAGATATTTTCTGTGAGAACGTCAAGGTTCATCGTGTTCGTGAGTGTTACAGTGGGTTCTGCTGCCAATGATCTAATGTATTGAGTAGAAGATGTTGTCTGAGGCACTTAACCAACCGTTCCTCGACGTTCTTCATGCTGTCATCACCCTGGCATGAACGGAATACAAAATTGGTCGGCTCCTTGGTAAGTACTGAGAATGTTTCTCGTGTTCCTCGGCTAAGTACTTGTCTCTCAGGATTCTGATAATATGGTGATGTAAGTGGAATTGGAACACCGTGCTGATTGATTTTGACAAATGATTAGCTTGCCATGAGGATGGTGCGTGCATTATTACTCTCTCTCCCTCTTACTCCGACCATTTCATTACTAATATTAATACTTGTGCAGCTATTTTATCTTCCACAATGCTCGTTAGTGCTCTGCCTTTGAACTGGACCCTTCTGAATCTGCCTTACAACCACAGACTATGTACCAATGAAGGAGAAATCTGATCCAGTTAGGCCTCGATGCATAGGTGAGTTCGTTCGCTACGCTTCAGTATCGTGTCATATTAATAATGACTTATCATCACTCTAGACAGCACCGCATCGATAGCGGAGACGGAACTGTCTCATTATAAGCAGCATGTTCAGGTCTGTTGCTGCTTGTGTCCCGTCACCCATTCTCACTATCTCGTCACTAATGGTTTCAAAATGATGCCTCACAGAGACTCTGACGGCGAAGACTTCGAAGCTGAGCTCAATGCAGTCAGCGATGCTGAAGATTCAGACTCTGAAGGCTTGAGTGATGATGATCTGGGAACGTTGAGGGCAGTCCTAACTGTTCCTCAGCCTGATGCACCAATGCACAAAGTTCGCAAGGTAGATCTGTGTTTTATTATATTCTCTACTGTACTAACATAATTCTACACACACAGGCTCTTGAAACTGCTCAACAAGCTTACAATACGCTACGAATAGAGTTTCAAGCTCTTAAAAAGGACTACTTCACTCTTTCGGCCACTGTTCCCGCCCACAGCCGCAACCGCACTCTCAAGAAGACGTCTGCACTCGATACGAAGATCACTTCCCAAGGGAAGATCTATGCGTTATTCTATCACTTTTGGGTCATCCCTGGAGTATTTCCGACGACTCCCCAGCCTGATGTTGACCCATGCAGTTCTTCGCGTTGGGCATCTCCTGAGGCCAAGCTCGATGGTTCTATGGCCGAATTGTACCAGTGTGTGCCCCAGGATCTCCACAAGTCCATGGAGAAGTACATGGCCTTTGATTCCTTGGTACATCCTTTCCTCTCTTATCAATACAGTTTATTAATATGCTTATTATTACTATTAGTTTCGTGCTGCAGTTAGCGCAGAGCGTTCAAACATTGTACATGCTATCAAGAGTTGCGCAGGCATTATCTTTTCAGATCTCAAGCTCGATCCATCGCTCTTTGCATCTCAGACAGATGTTAGAAAGCAGGACAACGAAGACCTCCTTGCATTACTGAAACAAAACGGCAACGGAGAATACATTCGGCTGGCACCTGTCCTATTCACGAGACCTGATGTAATGTCTGCTGATGAGTTCCTCAAGGGTCCGGTCCTTGTCAAAGTAAGTACTGCGGCTTTCATATAACGCAGCATACTAACAGCTCACTAGATCATTCACGTCGAGATATTCGGGAAGAAGGTCCTGTCTGGGAAGATCAAAGGTCAGAAGGCCAGGGGCCAGCGTTGCAATGCGCAGTGTGTAACCGAAGGGTTGATTGCAGGTGCCACTGTTATGGTAAGCAATATTTTCTCTTTTATTCATTTAATAAATGTTCATTGACGATTCCAGGCACATTTTTTGTTGACGCACGATCCTGAATTCACAGCGACGGGTGCCGAGACCAAGATCAATTACCAAGCCGACTATGATTTCTACCTAGAGCGCTTATTCAAGCGCACACCATGGGCCTGTAGCGTCATGAACTTCTTCAATAAGGAAGTCTTCAACATCACCAGCCCGTCTCATGCACCAGCCTCTGATGACTCTTATACCATCCCTCAACCTCGCACATGGGAGGACGACCTTCTCGATGAACTCGATGCTCCTATAATCACTCAGGTTTCGACTCCGACGACTCGCACTCCTTCACCTGCCGCTGTTACGCACTCAAATAGATCTGTTATGCGGAGCCCTAAGAGGGGCGTTGTCTGCTAACATTCGTGACGTAACCGGAAGGGTCCGGTGTAGCGACTGAGACTGGCGACGACTAGTCGGCAGATATCAGAGACGCGCGTGTCATGTGACTTCTAAGACGGATGTCTTCAAAGTCACTGACATTCTCAAAGTAAGGACAGTCTTGTCCGAACGATGAGTAGTCGATCGAGGTAGACTTAGGCGCGATGAGCACCTAAGAAAAGATACTAGAGACTGAAGCTGAGGGGGCTTCAGAGGGAAGTATGTTCGAGGGAAGATTGAGTAGATTCAAGTTAGGGAATCTAGTACAGAGTGACCGACTACTTATACTAAGTGGAAAGGGTTAAGGGCAAGGTTACCGTACTGTAGGTAAGGGCAAAGGGGAAACGGAAAGGGTATAGGTATGCTGGTAGCAGAGCCTGATTAGTGATGTGAGGTCGAATGCGGAATGAGACCGAGAAACGTTGGAACGAGCCAACGGTAAATGATACAATGCGCAGCACGCATGAGTCAGAGGAAAGATAAGACAAGATAAGGAAAGCCACATTGGTGGCACGAGTCAGAACGAGTCATAGCCCGAAGGCACGTGTGCACGTTGGTGCGATAGGAGGGGGATGAGGGACGGGAACGGTCCCGAGGATCCGGTCAACGGATAGTCGGTAGAGAAGTGCGAGCCGGAGGCATACAAGGGCGAGGATGAGGGGGAAAAATGATAGGGGGGCCATGTAGCCGATGTTACTTGTAACAGCCGCTAGCTCGGCAATAGTCAATGTCATGTCCAGCTACCACGCGTCCATGTCCATCAACCAAGGACAATCTGTGTCCACAATGTCGCAGCTGCAACTTGGTGTTAGTCGGTTGTCACTGGGTAACCATGAGCCGCCTGTATCAGGGACTCACAGCACGTCTTCTCGTCAATTTCTACTCCCAGTTGCTGAGCCCCCCGTACCAGTGACTCACAGCGCATCTTTTCCTCAATCTCGACTCCCGGTTCCCGAGCCTTCTGTATCAGTGTCAATGACCCACAGCGCATCTTCCTTTCAGGCTCAACTCCCAGTTCCCAAGCCACCTTTCATGTCAGAGCCTGACAAGGCTACACATGTCACTCACCATGGCGGCACCAGAGTAGTTGCTCCTACCAAGGCCAGAAAGGGGAAGGGGAAGTGCTGATATGGTCAGATTTTCAGTATTTTCTGTTGTCTTACAGCTATATTATAAATAGCACAGTTGACATTAGAATAGAATTAGAAAACACGCTCGAGTCCTTGGAAATCTATTTTTGTCTTGCAATCTCATGTCGACCCTTCTAAATCCTTGCAATGCTTACATGATTGGCCTGTGACCCCCGCCTTTGCAAGGCATCATAATGTGGGAACGGTTCCCTTTTAAGACGCCTTGAAAGATTATCTCTGTCATTGCGATGCCTTAAAAGGGGGTGTGTGAAAATTATGCCTTAAAATGTATTGTAAGGCCCTAAAATGGTGCCTAGAAATTTCCGACACAGTCAACACGACATTCATATCATGAGTGCAAATATTACTGTGAAAGACTTTTGGCTGCAACGGATCCGACGACTGGAATAAGCGCGTGACATGAGCAGTGGTACTGTATATCACAATTGCACAGATTTTCTCTTCAACCCAAGTAAGGTCGTCGAAATATGTCGAAAATTTGCCACAAGTTGTTCGCAAGCGCAAAACGGGGAGCATGGTCATCCTTCAATAGAGCAGCAAAACATAACCTCTTTCGAAAACGCCGGCGCATAGCATTAAGGTTCTGAGCTTCAATCGCCAACTCAATTTTATGTTCGCATCACATCAAGTCATGTTGGTTGAGCTGAGAAAGGATTTGTTAACCAAGCCGGTCCACCACAGCAGATCCATATAATAATGAGGATAGTGCTTCACATCATGGGGCTCATTGAAAGAAGGACAGTGTCCTTCATCGAGAACGCGAGTCAAATGGCAGGGTGATTTGTAAGAAAAACCCTAAACATGCATGAGCTATATGAAACAGTGAGTCGAGATGGAAATAAACTTACACATGCCTGTTCGTGCTCAGTCAATGACTACCACAGGTTAATGGAACGAAAGAATGTCCACAGTGGTAGCCACTGGCTAGTGCTCACAACTTTTCCCATGGGTGCATTTGCAGAGGATTGATTATCTGTGTCTGACAGAACCCAGAGTCTTCCACATTCATGGAGTTGGGGACAAAGTTTTTCTTCACTGCGCGGTGTACAGTCGAAGCCCTCTTATCCCATAGCCCTGGTAACCCATACTCACATATACTCCATAGGTTTTTCAAGTTACCAAGTTGGAATGCGGGGGATTTCAACCCATAACCCTCTAATACTCCATAATCCATACCCTTCGTGACATAAAACCCATACAATTACTAGTGTATTTTTGGTACATTTGTTGCCAAACCCTAATTTTTTAGAGCGCTAATGCGCCACAAGCACTGTATAAATTTTCTTGCTCACCAAGTCAAAACAAACCATGCCATTAAAGCCACTTGAAGTCCTCAAAAAGCCCTGAAAGTTCTCAAACTTTTGGTCCTTTTTTCTTGCTATTGTCCACCAGCCAGGCTTTTGACAAAAAGATTCGAGGTTTGGTTGCAACTTTTTAGTTAATTTTGTTTGCTCTTAAACTCTACTTGGTTATAATGCACTTATAAAATAACTTGTTTTTTTTTCTGAATTTTTGTGATTTTGAGATCAAGTAGTATTTAAGATGACTGAATCAATAGTATTACTCACGATAAGTTTTGAACACTTCAAAAAACTCGCTAAAGCTTCAAAAAACTCGCTAAAGTCTTTAACAAACTCGCTAAAGTCTTTAACAAACTCGCTAAAGTCTTCAACAAACTCGGCCAGAAAGCCATCAAGACACACGGCACACGCAGCATCAGAGCGGACTTGGAAACACTTAGTCAAATTTTAAGGCATGTATACTACACAAAAATATATAGATGTAGCTAGGTATCTAATGAACGAGATATAACAAAAAAGAAATGTGTGATAGTGAGGGAAACACGAGATTCAGAATGGAAGTATGAGAGAGTGAGAGTGCGGGCGCATGAGCTGGGAGGTAGAGTTAGGGGATTCCATTTGATCCGGCGTTCGAACGCTGAATGTGTGACAGCGAGGGAGACACAAGCAGTGTAAGAGGGCGGGAGCATGTGCTAGGAGATAACGAACATGTTGGGGGATTCTGTTTGATCCGGCATTCGAACGCTGGATGCGTGACAGCGAGGGACACAACAGCAGTGTGAAGGGCGGGAACATGGACACAGGTGTGTGGGGCTGGCCCGGCCGGGAGATACAACAACAGCCGTATGAGTGCGCAGGTGCAGGCATGTGGGCTGGGAGACACAACAGCAGTAGCATGAGATCAGAGGGCAGGAGCACAAATGAAGAAAAATTACTCACATTTACATCCTCAACCTCCCATCCAGCGCCATTGCATACCTCCCCATTATCCACCTGTAAGATCATGCTGGAAGGGGCAAGGGGATGGTGAGATTCGAGCTACGGAATGCACGGAGGATGCAGATGCTAGCGATGACATCTGGCGCTAATCGTGGTAAAAATTTAAACTCCGATTTAAACACCGCCTAATCAGTTGGATGATGGATCTCAAGTGTACTGATAAGAAAACACCTCGTTCCAAGTCACAACCATGCCTCCTCAGTCTACACGTGAAGACCTCCTTCGTGCCATTGATCAGGCTTCATTGGCATTAGCCAACTCACAGTATTTGAATATACTCCTGGATGACCAGGGCTCCAACTCAGACTCAGACTCTAATACCGACTCGGACTTAAACTCGCTTTATACCTCAGATGAGGAAGATCTGGCTTTTGCCTCCCCATCCCCTATATCCCCCATGTCCCCTATGTCCCCTATGTCCCACCTTTTGGGCCTCAGTTCAGATATTTCCAGCCACAGTGACCAATCTGACGACTCAGATGACGCTGCTGTGCGTTACGACCGGCTCCAGCACACAATTGCTGCTCTTCGTGATGAGGTAGAGAGGGCACGTGTATTCCACAAGCCTGATGAGCCTCCTCCTCGGGCACCTCAGCTGCATATGCTGGTTCACCATGAGGAACACCGGCCTCATTTGTTTCGCCAGAAACTGCGCGTCAATCCAGAAATATTTGACGATATCCTCGACCAGATCTCCGGTCATCCTATCTTCCGTAACCAGTCCAACAATCCTCAGCTCCCTGTCTCCATTCAGCTTGCTATTTTTCTAAATCATGCAGGCCACTATGGCAATGCCATTTCACTCGAGGATGTCGCACAATGGGCGGGTGTGAGTGTTGGGTCGGTTGTCAACTGCACTAATCGTGTGATGGTTGCATTGCTTGAGGAGCACGATCAGTTTATCTTCTTCCCAGAAGATAACTCTGAGGATACTGAGCTGGCTCGGCGCTTTGCTGAGACACGAACCTGTCCAGAGTGGAGGGGTGGCTATCTAGCCATTGATGGCTCAACTATAGATCTTTTCACCAAACCTGCTTATTTTGGTGAGACATTTTATGATAGGAAATCTAAGTATTCCCTTGGCTGTCAAGTAATGTATTTTTATTTATTTTTCATGGGCAACAATTTAATTTAATTTTAGGCGGTTATCATGCCCCATAACCTCATGATTGTAGATTATTCTCTTGGTCAACCTGGGAGTGTCCATGATGCATATGCTTTTCGAATCACTCGCCTCTATGAAGAGCATGCCAATCTTCTCCCAGATGATCACTGGGTTTGGGCAGACAGTGCATACCCATTGGAGCCATGGTGTATCCCCCCTTTCAAGAAGCCTTGCAATGGACGACTGACAAAGGACCAGAGGACATTTAATTACCACCTTTCTAAGGTATTTTTATTTTCTGCTTTTTTATTATTATTAATGAATTTAAAGATCCGTGTGCGTGTTGAGCATACATTTGCAGTCTTGAAAGGGCGGTTCCAGTCTCTCAGAGAGCTCCGCATCAATATTCAGACAGAGAAGGACTTGCAGGTTGCTGTGCATTGGATTAAGTGTTGTCTTATCCTGCACAACATGATCATCTGCTTTGAAACTCATTGTCGCAAGCAGGATAAAGACTATGATCAGTCTCTGGAGTGGGCTCGTACCGAGGGTGAAGCTTTTGTCCCTCAAGAGATTGAGGATCCAGAGGGTAATGAAACAGTGGGTGACAGGTCATATGAAGGAACCCCTGGCCAGGCTACTCGTGCAAGGCTCATGGATCAGCTCTTTGATAGCCCTAGATCAAAAGCACAGCATAGGGAAGGATAAGCATCATGTTCACATTCACCAATGATACATGTACTACTAGTAGTACATCTTGTACAACACATGTAACATCAATCTTACAAGTACCAGCAGAAAAAAAAAGCACCATGTTCACATTCACCAATAGTACATGTACTACTAGTATTACAGCTTGTACAACATCAATCTAACAAGTAACAACAGACTACAAAAGAAATTCATAAGTCAGATAGCAACAGCAGCAAAAAAACGCGACAGCAGAAAGCAGCAATGATGATACAAAAATAAGCCGCTAGCGGACAGTATGATAGGAAGGGGAACAACAGCAGCAAACATGTCAGCTATCAGACGCAGAAGCGGTACTACCGCTGTAGAGACTCGTGCATCTCATAGTGTGATATGGCGCTTTACACTAGGGAGTATACAGCACCAACTCGCAGCATCACTCTGTGTACCATCCACAGTGATTCCTATATGACGCGCAGCTTTCCCGCGCTTCACGATGTATACGCGCGCGCGCGTTCCCGCGCTTGCGCGCCCTATAGCGCCAGCCATCCAGATGCATCCATCCACTGTCCACCAAGCTCCCTAGTGCGTATATTTCCATTTCCTTTATTAGCATAGTTCCACCTTTATTTTTATCATAGTTTCTCACTCATATATATTTTTACATACCTACTCGGTAGCGCTTCGGCTCCGCATGAGCGCGCTTAGGCGCGCTATATAAGCGCCAGCAGTACATACTACACTGGACCTACTTTTCCTACTTTTCACTTACTAGTTACTACCCACTTACTACTTAGCAGAATATAGTAGAAAGCTATTCCTTTACATTTTGCACTCTTATATCTCTTATCTTGCTTTATATCACTACTTAAGCTTAGTTTC